GAACTACGTTAAATTGTTGTCTCTTATGTGTTTGATTTTATTTTCGCTATGTGTGATTGGATTGGAGGCTTTTAGCCCAACAAATGGTATCAGAGCTATGGTGTTCTCCAACAAATGGTATCAGAGCTGAAGGTTTAAAACGTGAGAAGAGTTGAAGATTCAAGATGTGGAAAGAGCCGAAGGTTCGAGATGTGGAAGAGCTGAAAGTTCGAGATGTGTGAAGAGCTAAATGTTTAAGATGTGGGAAGTGCATGGTTTGAGACATGGGAAGAAGCAAGTCCAGAGGAGCTCGATTCAAGAGAAGAGTTCGAGTTTAAGTTTTGAAGATTGAAGATTGGTTTGTATGAAGCGTGAAGACACAAAAGAAGAAATATGATTGTGAGACTTCCATTACAGGTGGAGCCAAGCATGTCTAGCATGAAGACAGATTATTGATGGAATTTGAGTCAAGGTGGAGATTGTTGGGAATAATGACTCAAATCCCATAAGAGATTTGTTTGGGATTTGTTAGAGATTTGTCAGATATTGCTTGATGGACAAAAAGACTTGCAAAAGAAGAATTCTAAGAGAAAGTGGATTCTTAATAGGCAAGTTTGACTTGCAAGAGAAGAATTCTAAAAGTAAATGGATTCTTAATAGACAAGTTTGACTTACAAGAAAAGAATTCTAAGAGGAGAAAGATTCTTAATGGGCAAGTTTGTATGGTTATAAATAGATGAAGTCTCTACAAGATTTGGTATGAGAAAAAGATGTAAGAGAGTTGTAGAGTTTTATGGGATAGACACCCCATAGGAGTATTGGGGCTCTACATCTTATGGGTGTGTATGTTTGTTTGTGAGTGGACTAGAGGAGACTGAGAGGGTCCACATAGGTATGATGTATGGGAGCATATGGGTATGTGTTTGGTTATGTTGAAAGGGTGCACAAGGGTTTAGGTTTGTATTTGTATTTGTTTGGATTGAGAATATTTCATAGGACTAGAGGAGATTGAGAGTGTCTTATGAGTATTGATTGTTGAGTGAGGTTGATGATTTGATGTAAGTTTGTAATTCTCTATAACTAGTGGATCTTGTTTCTCATCCGTAGATGTAGGTCAGTTGGACCGAACCACGTTAAATTGTTGTCTCTTATGTGTTTGATTTATTGTTTGATTTCGCTTTCACTGGTGTGATTGGGTTGGAGGCTTTTAGCCCAACAATAAAATCAATGAGATTCATCTAGAATGTTTACATCTGCAACACGGGAATTCAGGACAGAATCAGGCAATGTGGAGGTTCTTGCTTCCTTGGTGGGTTTCTTGTTTTATAGACACAAGAAGACCACTCGCTATAAGATCCCTTGCAAGAATAGCGGTTACCATCAAACTCCAAATCACCATTGCAAATTGGACACTTCTCTAATGGTCCATAGAACAACTTATGTAAGCTGCTAACAAAAAAAATGGTTTTAAAGCATCAGTTTCTGAACTCTCAGTGATGATTGCTGAATTATTGCATGTTGTGATGCAAAAACATGGAAGTGGACTGACCATTTAACAACAGAAGTAACGAGCCAGAGGAATCCTGGCCATTAGCTTCAAGGATTTCTCTCATTTTCGGGACAGATAAATGCTCTCTGTCAGCTTTGCAGAAATCTTCAAACTCTTAAGCTACATCAGATGCAGATTTTCCATTAGGGGGACCATTCTCTGCCTCAGCCTTGGCCTTCTTTGGAGATTCCCTTCATTTGTCTTCAGCTGGTCTGCCTTCTGCTTCTTGTCATCACTCTCTCTTCATCACCAGTTGCATGTCCATGAGAATGAGACCTTGTTTCATGAACCTTCACAAATGAAAAAAAATGAAAAATTGTTAGAACATAATCCACTATAGCTATTATTATTAGAAACTCAAAATAACATGCTGCTACAAACCTTCATGATTTTTCTCCTTGTTTCTCTCTATACAAAACCTAGAGAGAAGATCAGCACAATCTTAATTTTAACAGATTTAAAACTAAGATGTAAAGATTCAAATGTGAAAGAACTAGAGTTTTGAAGATAAAAACCTTGGCACTCATTTCTAACACCAGCAATCTTGTACTGTATAATGACAAATTGACATACATGAAATTCTTACAAGTCTATCACTGAGGCTCCTCTGTCTTGCCCAAAACAAAACATCTGTTGTAATGCAAAGAATCTCAATGCCACGTGTCAAAATGGGTATTTTTGTAGCCTAAACCGTTGACAGGTGGTAATCTGAACTGTATAATTCAACGAGTTCTTTTCGAATTTGTTTCATTCTCTCTTGCATGTAATGATATCTAATAATCTAAAACTTTTTAGATTCAATTCTTCGTTTCTTTTTTCTGATACTACTTGGCAGTTCCTTTTCTTCCTGGACTCACACCTAGAATTTGAGAGGTGGGAAACTGAAAGTGCTACATCAGCAGTGACAACATTTAAATATATATATATATAATGCATGCAATTGCATATCAAATAGTTTATATGATGTGTTAGGAATTTCATCGACAAGCTTCTAACACGGCTTTTACATAACAACATTATGAAGGCTTTGATTTTAATTATTAAGATCATGAAAGCTTTGATTTTAATTGTTACATAAAAAAAACTTGAATCAATTAAATATTTAAATAAATAAAAATATAATCAATTAATTAAACGAAAAAAAATAATTAAATATAATTCAATTTAATCGACTAATGTTCACCGATAAAAAAAAAATTCGTTAATTATAAAAAATTACAACATACAACTTATTAACCTCAATCCTAAACAATATGATCATTATGATCATTAGTAATGTTTATTTGATTGATCTAGGTGCGAAAAATTGGGGTGTAACTTTGATTAAATGTTGTGCATTTACCAGATTTTTTCCATTGAAGCAAATCTAATGTTGTGGGGGTTCGATGCTACATAGAAATGGTGAAGGTAATTTCTGTGTTTAATTTGAGCATATTTTGGAGGAAAATTGCTATGATTAGATTGGATTTGTTTGGTTTTTTTTTTTTAAAACACTTTTTGTTTTTATTTATGTATTATCAGCAACTTTTAATCACTAGATTTTCTCAAATAAATTATTGATGAATGCGTTACTTGGTAAGATCATATGTATTAATTTAGTTTGAATAATGCCTTGTAAGAGAGAGAGGCAAACCATACATTAAAATACTTCTATATTAATTAAAATAAAACGTTTTTTTTTTATAAAAAATGAATAACATGTCAACTGTATAATCTATTCATAAATTATCAAATCTTGATTAAAAAATTTTTTTTCTCATTTTATAAATATCATTTAGTTATTTTAAAATTTTATCTGAAAATTTTTAAAATAAAGTTTCAAGTTCTATAGAAGCAGAAACCAATTAATTAGGCAAAGAAAAGCTCCCTCTTGCCTCTTGGCTTACAGAACTACAAAGAAAAGTTGCCAAAAAATGGCTGAAGAAACTGCTGTTGCCAATTGCCATATGGTTTGTTTTAGGCCTTCTTTCACATTTGGGCTTCTTCGAGATTCGGGCTGCAGTAGTTGAGCTAAAGCCATTGCAGCATTGAGTCAAGCATTTTCACCTTAATATCATTCTTCTTATTATTATCATTTTTCCCATCACCCGACAAAGCATGGTGGCGGTCCTTCATCTAACAAAAAATCATACCCCTCACGTTTTCTCCACAACTTTTTCATTTGGTCAAGCCTGCCTCAGAAGGAACTAAATTTCAACCATTTTTATGATCTAATTTAATTTAATAATTTTGACATTTTGTCAAGATTTAAACGTTAATTATTGAAATTAAAAATCTAACAATCTATTAATATATACCGTATAATTGTTTATAATACTTTTTACATCTTCTTCCAAAAAAGTAATCCCAAAAAATCCTCTTTTCAACAAAACCCTCTTTAATTTTTTTTTTGGGTATTTTATAAACTCATAATTATCTACTATATATATATATATTTTTATATATATGATAATCGAAGTCATTTTCATAAGTCTAAAAGGATTCTCCTTTTTCAGCTTAATTAATATACCTAATCATAAATATTCTCTTGTTTGAAGTTATAATCAGTTTTGTTGGATGATTTGGTGAAGCCTCCAACTTAGACTCTTTCACTTCCTTTTCCCACCACCTAGCCTTTGAAAATTTGCAACAAAGATTGCAAAATTTTGTAAGCAATGACTATGGCTATATGATTTTTGACATCATATATATTTCCGATTTTCCCATCTCTTTAAATCTCACTTCCAATAATTTTCAAGATTGGAACTTGAATTTTTTAAAAAAAAAAAAAAACTTGAAAATATATCTAACCAAATTACATCCAACTTGCCATTAGCAATTATTAAGTTTGTGTGTTTGTTGCCGTGATATGCGTAAGTTTAACCAACCATATAAAAAACTTTTTCGTGCCCTTTTACTTTCAACCAAATACTCAAAAGAGATGAGAAAAGCATGTTAATTATTAAGCATTAATCTTTTTTTTTTTTTTTATATCATCGAGATATATTAAGGATGTTTGGACTCGAACTCAAGTCTTAATTACATGTCACAACTTTTTCTTTACCCATTCGATCAAAAGGTTGTTGGCATTATTAAGCATTAACTTCATTAAAAAGGGTTCATGTGAGAAACCTTTTAGCATAAGTTAAATATTTTATGTGGAATATTGTCATTAATTCTCCTAATTCGCCTGCTTATGCAGGTGCGCACGCGTGTTTGCTGGGATCATGTGAAAACTTTTTTTCTTTAATTTGTTGGGTTGTTGAACAATGAAAACAATGGATCCCCATGCATGCGTGTGCAAATCTATGTTTGTTTAGATTGTAAAACTTTTGACCTTAGGATACTATAATTATATATACTTTAATTTGGTAGAGTTTAAAATTTTTACTGTCAGTGTATAAAATAATTTTTATTTTAAGTATGATTAATTGTGATAAAAAAGATAAATCTAAAACGTACTAGTAATTGAGCTAATAGATGTCACATTTTCTCCCTTCCAATAAAGGAGTAGATAAAATATAGAATTATGACATGATCTTTGTTGAAATTGATTTGAACATTTAAAGGCATTAAAAAGGTGATTGAAGAACAAGGATTTGAAAGAGAAAATGCTCATAGCCAAGAGAGAAAAACCAGAAAAGATAATTGTCTAGAAAACAATATAATACAATCCCATCCTATAAAAGATTACCATTTAGCAATGAAGCGGATAAATTTTCTCCCTTAGAAAAAGTAACTCAATCTTTTTGAAATCTTCATCATGGAAGAGAAGAAAATTCATCTACTTCATCACTTGAGGTAACCCCTTTTTTATTCCCAATTACGGCTGCCACAAAGTGCCTAAAAAAGTAACTGAGGCTTAGCCCTGACCAGCAAGTGCTCCGTAGCAAACCGCTCCCTCTTTTGCCTCCAATGCAATGTTTTGTTTGAGAATTTTTTGTTACCGAGCACAAGCTTTGGATAAGCCTAAGAAACTTTTAAAACATGGAAATTAAAGAAAATTAAAAGCTTTCGAAAAATTAAAGGGTACTTGATTTGATTCGATGAGTAGTTGTCTAGTGAGTGAATTCGTCTTCGGAGCCAGTGATGCAATCCTTGTCATCTTCAAATCCTTCAAGAGAAGGATGAGGGGAATGTCCTTTTCCAAATGACCTAATGTGATCTTTCAATGATCTTTTGTGTTTAAAATCAGAGCCACAAGTGCAATACCACAACTTGCCACAATTCTTTTCGTGTGTTCTCCAATCCCCTTTGACAGCCAATGTCTTGCCACATTTTCTACACATGAAGGGCTTTGCACCATGTTTCCTTTTGTAGTGAGTTTGAAGTGTTCGGAAGTCCTTCAATGGCTTCGCTCGCGGATGGTTGATGTTGTTTTTGCAGCCCTGGGCACAGCAATAGCATGGCAGCCTCAGCATTGCTGCTGGTTGTGTTCCTTTAAGTGAATCTGGCCCTTTCCTATATTCAGATCCATGCCCCCACATATGCATCTGTACCAACAACTTAAGCTCAGTCCCCTCTACTTGTTTTTGATCCATTTAGAAATGCACTTATTATAGTCTTAAATCTTAAATCAATTTATACCTCAAAGCTCACATATAATCTATTGTAAAAAAAAAAATTAGGTATTCAAGATTCAAGAATATTAATTGATGTTACATGTTTCAATTATAGTTACCATAGGTGAAATCATACTTTTTCAAAAATTGGATATGGGTTATCAAAGATATCATGACTTTGCAAATGGTAATCAATGACTTCTTATAATATAGTCTACAAGGATCATTAGGCTATGTCTTTTAATTAAAAGTTGAATAATTAAAGCGATTAAAGAGAGCAAATTACCCACTAAAGATAAGAATCCAAAGCTGTAAAATTAACTGCTCTCTCTCTCCCTCTCAAAACCCCCTGGCCCTTTCCCTTTTTTCTGCCTAATCAATTTCTACTTCCTATTACTACTGCTTTATAAGTAAAAATCTTTGTAATTTTTTCTTCCTACCCCAGCTGCTTGCTTTCTTCCCCCATAGCTTTCCACCCAAAAGGGAAGCAACCAATGACAAAAGTCAAAAGAAATTGGATGCGGATTAGTTAAATTTTCTTAATCATGGAAGGACATTCACATAACAAATTAAAGGAACAGATCATCGATATCATTTCTTCTACATGTAAAATAGGGAAGAGGCTATCATTTCTTTTTACTGCAGAAGTAAATGCCACTTTTTATTTCAATTTTCACTTCAAAATTGTTACCTGAATTATAGTTTAAAAAATTTTTATTAAAAATGTTGCCTGCAAAAATTAAGAATGGGAATATGCTTATTGAGTCATTTAGACAGATTAATTTGAACTTTCTTGGCTCTCAATTATTTCAACAGTTTTTTAGCTGTTTCTTCCTTAATTTTTATTTAATCTTTGAAATTCCAATGGATAGACACGCACATTGATTGACAACAAAAGTTGACACATGATTGAAACTCAAAAACATCAAAATCACAAAGGATTTAACCAAAATATAGACAGGGTTTGGTTTTCAATGGAAAAAAACTAAACGAAAATATGAAAATGATTTGAGAGAGTAAGGCCACATAATTCAACATCAAGTTGCATTGATCATTGAATTATATATCCGAAGTAGAATATAAATGAAAATGCTTTCACTAAAAGAAAATAAAACTAAAAAGGTGAAGGAAAATCTTGACCATATACCTTTGGAAGGAAAGAAGCTAATATAAACTTTCCTTGGCTATTTCTATAGTTTGTCCTTAAACAATTGTCTATATTTTTGTACCTTATTTATCCTTTTTTAATCATTAATTACATTTTTAGGTATTCATTTTTCTTTCTATTCTTTTGACCTACATGAACAATATAATCATTCAATAAAAAGAATAATATTTTCTATTTTTTCCAGTTTCCATGGATGTGGCATTAGTCCATTGCTTTTCCTTTATAATCTGAAAGACAACTTTGAATTGTAACTCATCAAAGTTTTTAAAACAATGATGAATTGATAGCAAAAAAAGAAGTGATTTTGCAAGCAATAAGGATTAGCTTTATTAGTTTATTACTTTCGCTTCAACAAACCAATAAAAATGGATTTATAGTTGATATCCGAAAACTTTATCATGTTCATGCATGGAGCCATGGATATAATCCTTGAATTCTTCATTGTCAAAAATGAAAAATGAAAAAAATAAAAAAAAATCTATAAAAAATAGCCTATATGCTTTAATTCAAAAAATTAAAGAATTCAAAAGATCGAAACAGTACTGACCTGCATGTTATTGTACCTATTGAAAGTCTTGCTACATATGGAGCAAGCAAACTGCATGGGGCCGACGAGGATCTGAGCTGGAGTTGGGATCCAAAACCTACTTTCTGTGTTGAAAGAACATCCATGGAAGGTTTTCTTGATGGGTTCTTCTTCTTTAAAATTCTTATTCTCCGCAACAGGATTATCCCCGGTAGTACTGTTGGGCAACCCAATGTGCAAGGAAACTGTAACTTTCTCTATCTTTTCTTCTTTAACATTCCCAAAACTCATCTCCTTTTTCGTTCCAGCATCTTCTTCTTCCAATGGTTTGTTCTCTGTTAGCCTGCTCAAAAGAGGTAGGCATTGAATGGTTTCCTGCCCAAGCTGCTGATGATCTTGTTGCTGCTGTTGAAAAGAGACGGCAGGCAGTTTCAAGATAGTCATGGGGTTTATAAGCTGAACCTGTTGAGTCACAGGAGAAGATGGTTTCAGCCATTCAATGAAAGTAGGAGCTTGAAAGCACGAGTTTTTGTCCTCTGCTAAATGGTAGCTCCTAAAACCCATCTTCATCAGAGGGAGTGGGGATTTTTTTTCCCTTTGGGACTAATTTTCTCTCCTTTCAGATGGTTTATATCCAGACTTTATGTGGGAAAAGACTAGCAGCTGATTTACGAAAGTTGGTTTGGTTTGTCTTTTAGGAAGAAGCACTGCTTTTTCTACCCTCTCCCCTTTATCTTTTTCCACCTTTGGCATTTGTTTGATTTAGGGGAGAGTATGACAGTGAGAAATGAAATTGAGCTTAGTGGTGGGGTTAAAGACAATGACATGCACATAAGTTATCAGACTCCCTTAAATTATCAGAGAATCCTAGAACAGTCTGAACTACAATGTAAATGTATATTATTCTATTGTTTAGCAACAAAGATATTTAAGTTATTTTTTTCTTAAAAGCCTTTTTTTTTAATACAAGTATTTTCAAATTTTATTTAGATCAAATCTCTTATTTAAGTAATTTTAGAAACATAATTTTTTGAATTGATTTTATGAATTCATAATTTTATTTCCAAATGTTCTCGTAAAAATTGGACAAGAGAAATTTTTTCTTTATGATCTAGACTAACTTTGTGGGTATTTTTTCTCCTTTGAGTGGATGGTGGAATTTGACCAAGAAGCACTATATTTCTTAAAAATACATTGACATTAGAACAAATGACCTCAAGAAGGGAATTATATAAGGAGGAAAGTATTTGGTCAATACCTAAAAGAGAAGGAAAATGATATTAAAGGTAAAAAAAAAAAAAAAACTGTATTTTCATGAAAAAGAATGTTATAAATTAATATAATATGCACAGTTCAGTGTAGCATCCACAAAAGGAATGTTTTTATGGGCACGATGAATAAATTGGACTTATATATATGTAAGATTAAAACAGGCATGCAGGCATGATTAATTTCAACATAGGCTGCTGAAAATTCCCTTTGTGCCACATAATTTTGTGAAATCAGTGTCATATACACCGTGATTTTGTTTTTTTCAGCATCTTGACGAAATTTTTACTATGATTTTGAAGGTACATGAATTTTCCATTGGAGCTAATTAAACTTCATTATTGAAATTAACTTTTATTGTATGGTATTTTTGACATAGTAAAATTCAGTTTAATTATAAGGCATATAACACAGATTATCGTCCAAAAAAAGGTGTTTTAAATATAGATTAGATTCAATTAAAGATATATTGTTATAATTATATTTAATATATTGTCAATATATATTATATATACTGTCAATTAATTATATGATACCACCTCATTAATAAATAAAAATAAACTTTTTCAAGCTTTTAAAATAAATATATAAAAAATTATTTTATAATTTTTTATTAATAAAATGACATCATATGATTTATTAATAGTGTATAAATTTTATATATTAATAACACATCAAATATAAACTCATAATATTAATAGTTGAAAAAGCTATGGCCTTTTTTTCTTGATTTGCCCCGCTGAAACCTCTAATTTACCCTAAGACCCCATCACTCGATGATAATACAATATTAGCCCTCCGATATTCTCTTGTTCCCTTTGAGACCCTTTGTTCTTGCGATATAGTTTACTATCATTTTCACTTTGCAATTGCATATCCCTACTCTTTCCTCCCACATAAATTCAATTCTTTGGCTCTCCAACCTTTTTTGAATAATAGTGATAATAGATCGAAATTAAAATTTTTATTCTTTAATTAAGATCTTATAAAAACTATCCATCGGATGCATTGAAATTAAAACCGCGTTAAAAGATAAGATATTGAAGTTTGACATTCGTGCAACTGATTAAGAGATATTATTCAAACAAAAATTCAAGATTTTAGCAACAAAATCTTTGTGCAAAGTACATGGTACCGTAAATCAAAGAAAAAAAAACAGTGAAAGAAAACCCACCCACCACCGGCTTCTACATTAGCGTTCACCAAGTATTTGTGCTTAATTCAAGCACAACAAAGGTTTGACCCCACTTCCCCAATTATGCAAATAAAACTTCTCTAGGTACTTTTGGAGCTGAGCTTAAGCCTTCTCTCTGTCATTTTTTTTTTTTTGCCGACAAGATTTTGTGAGCGGATTTGCAGGGGATAAAAACACAGCTCCTCTCTTTTTTCTTTTTTAACCCTTTCCTTTTGTATTTTCATTGCTTGCTTTTTGGATTCTCTTTTGCTCATTTTACACTGTTTTCAAGAACCCAAACCTCTCTTTTAGTTTTTTTTTTTTTTTTTCAATTTAAAGTGAGGGAGATTTTTTCATTTTAGAATTATTAAATCGTATAGTTTTAAGAAGATTTATATTAGATTTACAGATTATCAAGTAAAATTACTGACAACTAAATTCGAATTTAAGCTTTACAAACAAAAATTTTGAATTTTACCAACTCAACCAATCATATTAGATTAAATTGTATTTTTGAGTAAACTAGAGATGCAATCCCAAACCTTCTCTAACTTAGCCTAAAAATGTCGCTAATTTTAAGCTCTATTTTTTTTACAAAAAATAATTTTTAAAAAATATTTATATTTTTTAATTAAAAGATGTTTTATTTTGTTTGGATGAGTTAATAAAAATATTTTTCTTTTTATGAAAAATTTATTTTTTTTCAAAGAATATTAATATTAAAATATTAAAAAAATTATTATTAAAATTATTAATATTTAAAAATAATTATATTTTAATAAAAATATTTAATATTAAAATATTATATTAATATAAAAATACTTAAAATAAAACTATTTATTATTCTTTATATTATTTATTAATATATTATATTAATTGTATATTATTTATTAATAATATGTTATTATAATATTAATTAATATAATAATATTATATATTATAATATTATTAATATATTATAATATTATTTATAAGTAAAATTATGCTCAAAAGTATTGATAAATAATTTTACTCATATATGCAATTTTTTTTATGAAAAAAGTATTTTTAAATCTATAAAATAATTTTTAAAAAATAATTTTAATTTTCGTTGACCAGTAAATTATTTTTAATATATTAATCATCTTATTTTCTATAGATTGCAGTAATTCTAATTCAAATTCAACTGTAAATTCAAAATTAAAAATAAAAATGAAAAGGGTATACATATGAAATAAGTAGCATAAAATTAATCAAATTTTAAGGAGAAATAATCCAAATGCATTTAGGTATAAAAGTTACGTGCTCTTAAAAATGGAAGCCACATTTATGCTCTTACCTTAACAACAAAATGTCACATCCCCATCTCCTTTTGAAATTAACTATAGCTCAAGTCATTATGATGTGAGTAGTTTTTACTCGCACGATGCATGAAGATTTTATCTTTCATAAAAATATTTTAATTAATTAAGTTTACCAAAATATTACTTTTTAAAATTTAAATTTTATATATTATAGTTATTTCAATTTGAAATCAAAGTATAAAAAAGTTTTCATATCTAATTGCACTTAAAATTAAAGAGCATGTTTTATTTTTATTTTTTCAATAACCTATAGATTGTGTTTGGTAACTTAAATTTAAAGAAAATATTTGAATTTTAAAATTAGTGTAAAATGTGTGATAAAGCAAACATAGATATAAATATTATTCATGATTATTTTTTAAATTTAATGATTTATTGGATGCCTATTTAGTAGTGACTTTGAAATATTTATATGTATTTATGAATTTGAAAATTTTTTTATATCTTTCAAATCAAATCAATAATCATATTAAATTTTATTAATTTGTGCATAATGGGTGCATTTTATTCTTATAATTTATATAGCAAATAAACGACAAATTCACTTTCTTAAATTCTCTTTTGCAAATGTAATAATATTGTTTTTTTATTGTCCAATCACTTATTCTAAAATAAATTATTTTAATTATTTTATGAATTTATCAAACAAAAGATATTAAAAAATTATAATTTAAGAAATATATCTTTAAATTAATTTTAAAACTTATTTTTATACACTACAAATCCAATAATTTGATTGCAATCAACATATTTATCTATATATGTCAAATAACCATTAAATAATTAATTTCAAAAATTTTATTAAAAAATTCATACTTGTTCACTTATCACTTTTTTCTACTTCTATGTACATGCATTTTAATAGAGTTTTTTAAATTATATTTTTTTAGTATCTGATATTATTTTGAATCTTGATCACTATAATTAAGAATTCAACACTTTATTATTAACGATTGTTGGCTATTTTTATATTGTATTTGATGCTAATTATAAATATAAGAGATTGCATAAAATAAAAATCAAATCAAGATTAAGTAGTACTAATTTAACAGTATGTTAAATTTGTTTAAATAAAATAAAGAAATTAATAAATTATTTTTATAAAAATAAATTAATTTTTTTAATGATTAGATAATTTCCAAATATTATAGGTTTTTATTCGAATATCAAATAGTTGACAAATAATAAGTTTTTAATATGGATTAATTAATTGGAAGTAACTCAAATTCTTTCTCGACATGCTAGAATGTCTTTTATTTAATAAAATATTATAATATTAAAAAGATAATATATAAAATTGAAATCTTGTTTTTTTATAATAATTTAAATTCACTTCATTATCTTAAATAAATATATAAAAAATAAAGTCTTTGATAGAAAAGGAAAATGTCTAATGTGAATGGTTTATATTAGTAACATGTGTACAGTCTTAAAACATGTCATGTGTCCTTTATTAAATGTATTTTATTTATTTGATACATTTTTATTTAATATATTTATTTATTTTATTTTATCTTAAATCACTCTCATTAAATTCATATAAAATGTATTAAAACTTTAATTACAATTATTAATAAATAAATTAATTTTATATTTTTTAATTATAAATATTCAACTATTGAATTATATTTATTAAAAAAATAAACTTTTCAATATTTTTTAATAAATATAACCTATTGGCTCCACCTTTAAGCTAGACATGTGTGTATATATATATATATATATAATATTACTTTTTAAATAATTATAGATGATTAAATAAATTAAAATTAAATTTTGTATGTCAAATCAAATTAATTTTATTATCATTATTGCACTAATTTTAAAATCTTTTTTTTCATTTTTTTAAGCACATTTAATACACATTATACTTATTATTTTAATTATCAAGTGTAAATTACTCTTACTCTTGATTTAGTTCACAATTTATTTTAGTCAATTAGCCATTTAATAGCAAATAAGATTTTTTCTTTATATGTTAATAAAAATCGTTGAACATGTTTTATAATAATGGAAAAAAAAACTTTGAAATTAAATGTATTTTACCATTAAATTTTATATTCATAATTAATTTTGAACATATGTCAATTTTTTTGGATTTTTCACATATTAAAAAAGCAACTATTTATATCAAATTATTTTTTGTTAGATATTGACTTTTATATATTTATATAAAATAATACTTAATATTTTTTTAATTTATTAATTCCTAAAGGAATTTAATTTTCGTTATTTTGGGTTACTAGGGAAATTTTGGTTGATAAGCCGCAATCATGGAATTTAAAATTTGACGGATATATATAATTTGTCTTTGATTGATGACTTAATCTGATACTTCTTTGAAGTTATGGCTAAATTTATCATTTTCTTTTAGGGCTCTCTTCTATCTTTCTTTATTATATTAACTGTCGGAATGCATTTCAAAATTTTAAACCCATGACGTTCTTTTTAATTTTTTGATAGATCTTAAATTCAAAAAGTTATTAAAATTTTAAAAAAAAATTTAAATTAAAGAGAATTATAAAAAAACTTAAAAAAGGAAAATAATGAAACGTCTAAATTTTTTTAAATCTAAAAATTTTAAAACAAATTGTAAAATTTTTTTAAAAAAATCATGAACTTTTTTCATTTTTTTTTAATCTTACAATTTATTTTTTAAACTTTTTTTTCATTTGTATTAAAATTTTAAGTCTTTCATTATTTTTCAGAATATTTTTAAATTTTTTTATAATATTTCAAAATTTTGAAATTATATAAAATTTTGAAATTTTTAAAAATTTTTAAGAATTTTTTTTTTATAAATTTTCAGATTTTTAAAGGAAATTTTAAATTTGTTTAATTTTCAAAATTTTTAAAAAAATTTTAGAATTTTTTATTTTCAATTTTTCAAGTTTTGTGAATCTTTTTTTAATTGTAAGAAATTTTTATTTTTATTAAAATTTTTTATTATTTTGAAATTTTTAGAATTTTTTTTGAAAATTTTTAAATTTTTTATTAAAATTTTGAGATTTTTTTAAAAATTAAGTTTTCATAATTTTTTCTAAATTTTTATAATTTTTAAAAATATTTCATTTTTTAATTTCTTATAATTGTTAAAATATTTGAGATTTTTTTTTAAATTTCTAAAAAGTTTTAGAAGTTTTTTATTTTTAAAAATTTTCTTTTAATATTGACATAAAAATTGATGATATATATATGGTGCTAATTTGATTTTTGACACATATCAATATCTTATTAAATATTAATATTATGTCATTAAATTAATTAACGACATTAATTCAAAGTATCAAAGTGAATGACGAAATGAAAGTTCAAGTATTAGATTAATAATTTTATTTTTTTTATACCAAACTAATAAAAAATATATAGTGTATAGATTATTTTTATATTTGACCCTATTATAAACAATTATTGAAATTATTTGATTGTAACAATCCTTTACATTTCATTATGCATTCACGTAAAAAAAAAAAGTTAAAAATATTGTTTGATTACAAGTTTTACTACCTACATTTGATGCACAAGAAATTAATGCTATATTCTATCAGAAGTTTTTCTTCTTAATTGAATTCGAATGTAAGAGAAAACTATATTCTTGAAGTTTAAATAAATTATAATATCTTTTACCAAACAGGTTTTGGGATTAAAAAATTCGGAAAAGTATGGTAGTTCCCTTAATGTATTAATTTAAGAATGTAAAACTTGAATGTGAATTAGTTTACTATTTATTATATACTTTTTGTATACAAGATGTTAGATAATAAAAAAAAAAATTTTAAATTTATGTCACCTAAAAATGAGAATATAACACATTCAACTAACGCTCGATGCGGACAGAAAATTATATTCAATAAGTTTTACCTTAATTATGAATGAATTGGAAGGTTTCTATGACTATAAACAAAATTGACATCAAATCAAAGCATTGTCTAGTCTTGGTTAGGCCAGTCATCTTCCAAGATTGGCGAATGGCACACTTTAATTACTTGGCAACTTCTCAATTTGTAACAGGGCGCTCCATCACACAAGTTTTTTCTTTGTTTTTTTTGGCCTTGAAAAGAAAATTTGTTTGGGTTAAGTCAAGGTGCTAGATTTCCCCCCCAAAAAATGGTGTATATTCTGCCACCCAATTGACCTTGACTTGGGTCTACTCTTTAATAAATGGCGGTTTTAAGGGGTCGAAATGAGGGATTGTTATTCCAAATGGGAGGATGCCAAACCTTTAGGTATAATTTCAACACCTGGAAGCTTATAGAAGTCTCTCAAAGACAAAGACTTTTGTGGGATTATGTCTTGACTGTTCCTTGTCTCAATTTTAACCCCCCATTGGTGTTTATATAAAAGAAAAGTCAATGAGTTTACTCAAAATCTCCATCATTACGTTCTAATCCTATGTTTGTTCTGTTTATATTTTTAGAAAATTATGTGACAATTTTCAAAGAATGCCTACTGCATTTGTGGGGTCAATCATCTGATGGACTGATACATTTGTTCAAAGATTAAACAAAACCATTTTTTAATGCAATTATAAAACCCCATTCTTAATTAAATGCTATTTGATCTATTGTTTTTATATTAATTGTGTCCTTAATCCAAATGAATTATTGGCCACAACTTGCATCATATAAAACCCTTTTTTATTACATTTCCCCCTTTTTGTTTTGGGTTTTGGGTTCTCTATTTTAGACTTGTGTTTGGGTCAAAACCATTTAAAGTTATTGCCTCATGGGCTACATCCTGGCAGATCTGAGCACTTTTGTCTCTAAGCCCCTGATCCACTACAGTCCAAAATTAGTCCAACAACATATATACTTTGCTTTAGGCCTTTGAATCCTTCAGAATCCTCATGATTGTAAACAAAATTCTTTCATTGATTGAACATAGATGTTTCATTTATACTTGAATATAAATATGTCTAGCTTGAACATATTTGTGAAGATGTTGAAGATCATCATAGCTGGTTTTGTCAAGTAGGAGGTGATGGCAGAGCTGGGTGTATGTATTTTGACGTTTGACAGAGCTGGATATGGAGAGAGTCTAAGAGTGAAGCATTTGATATCCAAGAGCTTGCAGATCAGCTTCAACTAGGACCATGTTCAGAAGATGCATTCGATTAGTTTGTCCGCTATCTTTAGTTTAAAACTTTAAATTATATTTTGATCATCTTAAATACTGAATTCTTAGGCACCCAAATCCTACTGGCTACCAGAAAAAGGAAAATAAAACATCTAGTCAAATACAAGGCAAATTATTCCCATTCACAAGGAAACCAACCTGCCAGAACTTTTCTAAGATACAAGGAAGATGAAAGCTCATAAGCATATATTATGACTGCATGATTTCTCCTAGCCATGGCCTAATACAAGCCTACATTTTAATTAAGTGGAGATTGACAAGTCAAGGGGCGAAATCCATGCTCAAGACTAGCCTTCCAAACTTTTTCGATGCTAAAAATGGTGCCACCACACTCGTTCACATCCCACCCTTCTGAAGCATGAATTATCCCAGCCACACGGCTTGCACTCGTCACCCTCCTCATCAACCAGTCCTGTTTCAATTTTTTTTTTTTTTGGTAATTAACTTTTTAATTTCTATTGCACAAGAAAATTTTATAAAATAAGAAACTACTAACCTCACAAGAGTGCATGTTCTCCAGAGATTTAGGAGCCTCCATTGCTGGTGTAGTATGATAGTAGCAATCTTTGCGAACTTTCTTTGGTGGGAATGTGGAAAATGGAATGAATAATGTTCCTTTTGGTGCCTTGGACTGTTCTTTATCAGTCAGACCATCTCCCACCAACCATACCTGCAAAAATAGATTAACACTGGGAAAAATCAGCAAGAAAATATTATACAAAAGCCATTGGAAAAATTCAATCATTAAGCAAATTAGACGTTTTACCTTGACATCATATCTTTTTGAAAGAACCAAATTACTTTCAAGTTTCTTATCGAACTTTAACAGCTTCTTGTATTCATCCTCTTGCGATGTCACCACCTGCTCAGCCCAAATTCAAGTGTAAACTCTTTAAATCTCTTAATTTAATGCTTTGATAGTATCGTTTTCCAAGGGTTTTGAAGTTTACCTTGATACCCTTTTGACTTAAAGATTGGACCAAGAAACAAGCATCCTTAGAGATTCTGCCTCTTAGGAGTACTTGGGCTGTTTCTTTAGGCATGCTGTCTAGAACAATAGCTGCTGCTAAACTGCTTCCATCTACAACCTTGATTTTAAGCTGAGGGTTCTTTTTTATATAAAGCTCTACATTTCCGCTAAACTCCTCATGCTGAATATTAAAAAAAATATAAAGTTTAAATCTGATAAGTTTGTGACAAAAATAAACATAATTTTTGGTTAGAAATAATATGCAATGAAGTTTAAAAAGCCACCAACAGTTGTGTGATCTGTTGATAAAATACTGAATTCTTAGTTTTAGTAACGTGGATTATATTCTTGACTGCCTCTAATATTTTAAAAAAAAAAGCTGCATTAACAATTTTAACATACCTGATTTAAAAGGCCTAAACTGAGCACCTTAGCTCCCTTCTTATCTGCATCTTGAATGGCTTCTCCAATCAATTTATTGATGGTTTCTCTTTGCCATTTTGAGAAATACTATAGGAAAAGAAAGAGCATTTAGATTAAAATATAAGTAATTAACACTTTAAATAATCAAATGATAAAATAACTATCCAAGGAAAACATGATGTTTCTTACTTGCATATTGTATTTGGGAATAACCCAAGTTTGAAGTTTGAGTTTTTTAAAGGTGTTCCTTTCTGAAATAAAGGCATGGCCGAAAATCCAAGTCAAGAGCACGGACCAGAGGGTGACAGGCCACATAAACAGTAGGTACCATTTAGAAGCTTGGGGCTTAGAGGACAAGGAAGGGAATCCAAGGGGAAGATGGTAGATGGAATCCGGCGTGGTTAGATGAGTCAGATGAACCACGTCCGGTGACTCTGCCTCTCTTTTTAGAGCAGTTTCATACACACTATCTGTCGACTTGTCGACGGTGCCATAGACATAATCGTAGAGTGGACAAAAAAGAGAGTAATTGGTCCGAAATTGAGTGTGATGTAGAGAGTGAAACCTGCCATACCACAAACCATTCGAAATTTACATGCCTTGTAAGTATACAAAAAACTATTAAATACATAAATTTGTAAAATGACAATTTGAAATATTATATCTATGTAAAATGTATCGAACACATCCAGTATGTGACGGAGTGTGTCTAAGTGTATCGGATATGTGATCGAAACGAGTATACCGGGGTACACATGACATAGCGTGTCCGTGGTTCATAATATATTAGAGAAGAGTAGGAAGCAAAGCGGAGACTTACGAAGGAGTGTAAACAATATATTTGAGAGGAGGGAAAATGGTGAAGGCCCATTTGGGGATGAACTCGAAGTTACAGTGTCCCATGTTGTTCAAGAAATCAATAACAGTAACATAAGTAAACACTCCGACGATGTTGGCTTTTCCAATGTATACCGATGTCAATGTCGGTATCAAAAGGAGCCCATAATACGAAAGTACTTCTGCGAATGGGTGAACAAACGCTGCCATATAAAATATTTACATATTCGTTAGAAAGGGAATTGCTTCCAAATGAGATTTCATTTTCAAATTCGAATCAATGAGCAAATCCAACACGAAATCCTAAAAAAAATATATATTTAGTTATGGAATAAAGAAGAATGAGTTTAATTGGGTTACAGGTGTTGGGCTCGGTGACAATGGAAGAATGGTGATGGGAGTGATAGCAAGCATAGAGGTAATGATGGTGCAATGCTCGGTGAAGCCAGTAGTAGAGGAACTCAGCTGGACCCCAGTGAAGTAGCAGTATGATTAGTGTGCCATCTGCTTTAAAGAAGGGCATGTTAAATTGATCTTTCAAGACTACGCCCGCCCCGTAGAACAAAATTCCATTCAATATAATCTGATCATCCCTGCCAAAAGACACAAAAACATATATATATATATATATATATATATTCTCTTCATAATTCAGGATACAGGTTTAGATTCCACACAAAAGAAGATAAAAGTAAAACAGAATACAAGTTAAGTTTTAACTTGAAAATTAAAAACTCGGGTTTAGTTAAGTTAGCAGCTAGTTCGTATAATCATTTGAAAAGATGGTATAGAGCAGGTTTGGGATTCAAATTTGAATTAAAAATGAGAAAAAAATAGAAAAATGTAGCTAATGAGCGGACCAGCTCCTTTCTCTGTCAACTTGGTCGAAGTCAATGCTCTTGTCAAGAATCCTATTGTTTCCTTTGGCAGTTCGGTAGCGAGAGTAAGAAATCCATAGTTGGTAGTGAACCAATCTAAACACCAGAAATGGGAAAATCAGGAACATGAACAGGTTCCTCTCATTTTCTGCTTTGCAGGTTATGAACGAGTAGGTGCTGTAAATCACCCCAGGGACCAGAAGACCATACTGCAATAATTTCACAATTATTCAATGTCAGACAGTAGCAACATCTATACAAGTCATATATGTAAGTAAAAATATAGCTGTAATAGAAAGAAAAGAGGTACACCTTAAAGTTTCCCATGGATTGCCATGGCCAATCACTGAGAATGCCTGGTTTACTTGCCATGTTTCTCAACCACTCTTTCTCTGCTCTTGCACTACTCTATCAACTATATATATATATATAGCCAGTTGCAATTTGCAAACCGAAAGAATTATACTTATAAAATTGTAATAATTAATATAAATTATCTTTCTTCTATATTTTTTATTTAATTTTCGATGACTAGGATTGTGATATGATTAATATCGCTTTAAAAAAAGGACAAAAGTATATATATTTCTATATTGAATGAAGACAAAAGAGTTGAGTTTACATTGCATTTTTATCTAAAAAATTTTTTTTTTAAAAGAACATTACATTAAATTCTTTGTTATTATTATTATTTTCGGCCTAAGAATTTTAAATACACATGATAAGATGATATAAAATTTTAATAAAATTTATATATGAATTTGATAAAAATTAAAAAATATATATTGTATGTTTAACTTATTAACATAAATTTAACATAATAATTTTTATATTATATATATTTTTGACATAATAAATACGACATAAATTCATAAATTATCAAAATTTGGTCCCTTCGAATATTAGTTTTGATTTTGGTGCATATTTTAATAATTGTTGATCAATTTTCTTTCAATTATCCAAAATTGTTTATAGCTTTTATAAGTACATATTTATTGACATTTTATGTTTTTTTTTCTGTGATAATATATATGATTATTCATCGAATAGATTGTATGGGGTCAAAATTTAATTATTGAAACCTTTAAATCATAGATTCGGGCTTAATCGACTTAATTAAATTTATTTATTTTTAAAATATTAAAAATATTATTCAATAATCAATTCAAATCGAATACGCATCTTTAAACATGTCTAATAATAAAAAATCATTTTGATTTTCTCTCACAAATTTACATATATGAAATTTGGAAAAGAACAAACATTTTGTCAAAACTAATGAGCAGTGTCGATAATATACAAATAATGGAGGAAATTTAAAATTTTTAGTAATTACTTTTCTTATAATAAAACTTAGCTATCATAAAATGTGATATTCACAAAGAAATAAGAGAGTTTTTCAATTTTCAGATCAGGATATAGAAACGCTGTATATAATAATTAATTGTCTAAATAAAATACATATATGATCAGAAAAGCATGTGGGAGCGGCTGAAAGTGTCCAAAACTTGGGGAAGATTAATATAATCCTACCCAAAAAAAAAAATACTTATTGATCCAAGGTGACAGATCATTATGGAACCAACCTGTCCATGAGGAGCACATTCAAAATGAGAACAAAATAAAGAATCTTATATGATTATCACTGCGAACACAACAACTTTTTCAGGGCCACTAATATCTATTTCAGTATTTACAATTTTTTTATCTCAAATTATAAGTTTTTTTTTAAAAAAAATAATTTAAACTTATTCTAGTTGGAGATGAATCGACATGGATTGATTTAAAAAATCAAAAACCCGAACTTAACTCAATTCATATTAAAAAAAAACTAAAACTTAAGGCAATCTAATAATAAAAAAAAAAACCAAAATTAAGATGATTCGAATTTATCATGACCTGACTTTTTAATAATCTAAACTAAATCAACCTAACTTAAAACTCAAAAAAATTGAAAAAAAAAACCCAAAGTTTCAAACTATAATTATATGATTTTATTTATAAATAAATAAATAATAAACATTTTCTAAACTAAAATTTTCAATTTTTAAAAATGTTTTATGAATATCAAATGATTTTTTACTATCCATATTATATTTATAATAATTATAAATAAAATTACAAATATTATTGTTAATATAACATTTTATTTTATTATAAAATAATCATTTACAATAAATTATTGTATTATAATTTTAACATATGATTAAATTTGATATTTTGTGCAAATATTAATAATATATTAGCAAAATTAACTTTAAATTATATTTTTCCTAGTGATTCAAACATATAAAAATATGAAATTTATTTGAAAATAAAATAACATATTATCTTTAAATTAAAATATAAAATTTTTTTAAAAAAGGTTTTTTGATGTAAAAATTAAAAAAAATTAAATAAATAAATTAAACAATACAACCGCCAGACAAAATATAATGAAATAAAAGCAGTTCTTCAATTCTTAAAATCAAATAAATAAAGTTTTCTAATTCTTCTGGCAAAAAAAAAAAAAAGGTATTCCAATTTTAAAAAACCGTAGTTCATCGCTATAACATGCAAAATTTGAACAGACAAATTATAACAAAAAAATCACAATTACTCTTAATTAATAAAAAATTATCAACTTTTTTATCAACAAAAAATAATTATTAGAAAGTGCAATATCAATATACGTTGCCACTCTTTGGTCATTCTCTATTCGATAATTAATTCAACTTCAACATTGATAGTAATAATCTTTCTTAATCTTATCTATTTAAATTTGTTCGATTTGAATCAAATTTAAAATAATATAAAATCAAAATAATTTGTATTCGAAATTATTTTAATATGAAATTTTTTGAATTAAAAAAAAATCTTAATATTTTATTTAAAAAGATTTAATTTTTGCTTTCTCATTTAAAGATGATTACGGATAATTATAAATATTAGTATTTTATTTTTTAGAAAACATAGCATTCTTATATAATGTAAAAATTAGTAGGCATAGATTTAAAAAAAAAAAAATAGTTGGCAATATCTTTCGACCTGCACTATCCTGTAGCTAATCAAATTGATGATTTGATGATTTCGGGATCTAATCAAATTGCAAGATATTGCCTGTGTCGGTGGTCGGAAGCTAGACTTACACACACATGCATGTGTCTCAAACGTCGACCGTTCTTTTATTATTATTATTTTTAATTTTTATAAAACTATGTGTAAATAAAAATTACAATTATAATTAAACGAATAATTGATCTTAAGGAATATGATATAATTATTTTATTCATGAACAAAATAAATAAACTAATCACACAAAATTTTCAAGATTTATTTTTTACTATTAAAACAAAATATTATACTTATTTGTGACATGATAGTATATTTAAAATATTAAATTTTTAATTTTCATAATCAAAATTTAAATCATGGTAATTTTAAATATAAAAAATAAATTAAAAAAATTTATTTCAATCATAAATGTAATTAATTAAATAATTAATGAAGTGATGGAGAAATAAATATATTATAATATGGTACATAACATCACACAAAAATTCAAAATTTTTTAATCACCGATTGTTAACCCTTTCGAATGTGAATGTGCACATGGAAAATTAAATTATCTCCACAAACATCAAGGAAGGAATAGGCCACATGCCATAAATATCGTTCAAGGTCTGCATAAAAGATTAGCTATAACAACCGCTTTTGTCCACATCTGTATTTATGATAAATGTTGTTGTTGACCATTCAGTCTTATTAGAGATTACATGATTTAAAATTGTTGATTATATTTTTTTAAATAGTTGTATAAATTAGTTAAGTTAAATTTTTAATTTATTATTTAAATTAATTTATTTGTGAATAAAAAACTATACAAATTTCTCACGTGAAAATAAAGCTATACCTAACAATGGTTATAGAGTCAATGCGTCCATTTTTTTATTAAAATTTTAATTTATCATTTAATCTCTCATCTTTATATATTTATTTGATTAAAAGAGGTATTACACACATAAATTCTTTTGAATTTATAATTTTTTAGCTTTAACTCTAATATTATGTTAACTAATTCAAAAGTTAATTAGCTACGTATCAATTATTTTTATAAAATGATTTAAAGTATTTCGATTATATTTTAATAATGAGATAATACGTATTAATAAATGATAATTAGAATTAAAAATGTAAGTTGGATTGAGGAACAAAAAATAAATTTAAAATGTAATTAACAATAACAAATAAAAAAATAGTCACGTTATTAATCGTTTGATTTCAAATTTTGAGTTTAACAAAAACTATTAGGCACATATCTATCGGTCATGTTTATCAAATTTTCTATCAATTTATCATTCCATGAATTACAAAAAAAAAAAGTTGGCCAAAAAAATAATTAAAAAAAATTTCTCATTAATTTAGCTCTCTTCAAAAATTTAATAATCTGGAATTTCAACTTTAAAAATCCATTTACTCCAGATTTTTGAAAAAAAAAAAAAAAGGAAGCATCAAACAAATCTTGCCTATCCTAGCATCTGATGAATAAGAAAAAGACCCAGACCACCCAGTCATTATAATCAAGCTCAATCCATCTGAAATTGGGCTTTGTTTTCAACTTCAAAAGTAGGCCACTAAATTTTCAAGTCTAGACCTGCAATTGAGTCCAAAAGCTTTAAAATTGTTCTTTGAGCCTACAATAGAGTGGTCAGTTTAAGGTGACACTTGTTACAGTGAAATTCCTGTTTTCCTTTCTTTTTAAAATTTCATCTAACTAGGGTTCAAGACAAATACTGCTGTCTAAAAATTTAGAAAAATTAAGAGGATTTGAGCAACCAGAATAATCATGTCCAATTGTAAAAACAACCAACGTAATACAGAATCTGATAATATTCCAATGTAGTTCCAGCTACGAACTGAAAGAAATATTCTTGCTCTGGGTTGTAGACCAACATATCATGGTGGACAGGCCTGATAACGTTGATTCGAATAGGAGAATTCGTCTAAACCGATTTGCGATCAAAGTCGGATCAAACTCAAAATTGAATTGATCTGAATTGATAAAAAAAAAAAATTAAAGATTCGATTTTAGAAAAATCTAAATTCGAAAAAACTGAATCAGCAATTAAAATTAAAAAAAATCTTAATTCCATTTGAAATGAAAAAAAAAAAAAAAACTTAATAGAATTGCAATCCATGTAAAAGAGCTGATATTTGACATAACTGAATTTACAAGTTACGATGGATGCAGGATTAACATAAATAAATTTAATAATTTAAAATATGATACGATGATATAATATGAAATAAAAAAATTATATAATGTGTTTAAAAATAAAAAATATAAAAATAATACGATTTAAAATTTTAACAAAAATTATATTTGAGTTTAATAAAATTAAAAAAATATTTTATGTTTTGTATCGATATTAATTATGATACGTAATTTTTTTATTAAGAATAACATAAATATATAAATTATTAATACTTGTAAAATACGAATACAAAAATTATCGTATAATCCAAAGCAAGAAATCAGTTGAGTAACATTCTGCACCTTAGAAAAGCAAAGAGTTCAACGAGAGATAATCAGTTTGCAAGCAAAAAGAATCCTAGTAGCTTTCAGAATTTAGTAGAATAAAACTTTCCTCATGTAGAAGCATGGCTTGGATCGGACAAGGAATACTATTCTGGCAAGCACAACACAACAAAGCAACACAGACAATACACTTTCTCAAGTTGTAATTAGAAAGTAAATTTTTTTTAAACGTTCTATGTTTGAACAACACCAACATTTCTGCCATCAATGGTGCAAGGAAAAAGGCAGAGAAGCATAGGTAATGGAGACCGAGATGCTTCTTCTGAGAAACCAATTGTTAGAAACTCAACAAGATGTTTTCAGTTCCAATGGTTTGAAATCCAACAAGATGAAAATTGTCAAAGGGAGAAGAGAATCTGAACGAATTTTTTACATTAAAAAAAAATTCATGTCATCTTTGTGTGTGATGTGCAAGGCTAATTGGGCAACCACCTAAAGCATTCAATTGCATTTATTTAAACATGTCAGGTGTTTGGCTTGGCATTACTTTTGACAGTTCTTGAAGAACCTCAAACACAGTAAAAGATGAAGTATATATATGATGATTGATGAATGTGCTGATTGTGACATTACTAAAAGCTCCTGGATACCAGATTAACTATGTATGATTCAATGAATACATGCAACTCACACTTCGACATGCACACACATGCAAAACCAAGATGAGATAAGCCCAAACTCAAGCTGCAACTGCAACATAAGTCAGACCATAATTTAGCTAGGCATAGCATTACACCACATGAAAAGAAAAAGAAAAAGATTAATGGTTTTGAATCAGTAATTGACAATTATATATGGAACATAGTACAAAATCTCTCAGCAAGATTTTTAAGATTGTGTGAATGATATGATTTAGAATTGTCAGTGAATTCCTCCCCTAACCCTGACTATATCAGTTACCATTTTTCAACAGTTAGTATGTACTTTTTTAGTACGCAAAATTACAAATCAAAGGGTGATTAGAGAGGCATCTGAAAAATTGACGCCTTATGTGGGAATTTTGGCAGAAACCATAAGGCACGTGGCACAAACGTGTCAAAAACTGTGCCCAAAGTGGGGACTACACCCATTGCATGTATTAAAGTGGCCATGGCAGTTACAGTTCCCTCACCCCCTCCCTCCCATCTCGCCACTCAAACCAAAGCCAAAGAGCCCTTCCTCTCCACAGAGATTACCTCCTTTTGGGTTTTTCCCCAAGCTTCTTCTCCTAGCAGATCAGATCACATTCAGGTAATTTGCTTACATTTCTTTCTCCATTTCCATGGTTTCTTTTTCTTCATGCATGACTTCCTTTTTCATATCTTTTTATAGTTTAACTTGTGGATTTCCATTTTCTTTCTTGTTGGATATATAGTTGATCTATACACTTGCATGTTGGTGTTTTGGTTTTCCCAATGGCAGAAAGCTTAAACTGACGCTGCCCTTCTTTTCCTCTTTTACTGCTTACGTGAATAAATCTAAGTTGAATTATAAATATTTTTATAATGGTATATATTCTGCTGTGGGAAATTAAAAATCTAATTATTCATGCAAATGCAATGGCAAAGATTATTCAGAAAATCAAAATAAAAGAGAGAGAGAGAGAGAGAAATAGGGGAACAAAAATGAATATCCAATTTGCTAGATGCTAACAGCCCTGTGGTAGCTTGTTAGTGATTTACTAGTAGTAGAATGTTAAATTTTTAGTTTTACTGATCATAGTGTCATGTAAAATATTATTCAGATATAAATCTTTAGGGGCCACCAGCCTTGGTCCAGTAACAAGATGTTTGGGCCAATGTTCTAGCATGGAGATGGACAAAAACAAACCATTTCCTTTCTCTTTGCATTAGTGAGCCTGACAAGGTTTTGATTATAAAACTGACTTGGGCCACTGACCCAGCTCAGAGCTTCACAACAATGAATTAGATCTTTTATTTCTTTAACTTAATTTTACAGCTAGAATTGAGGAGTATTGAGGTAATTACCAAGAATTTTTTAATTTTTTAAAATTTATTGTGTCAAATTTTGGCACTGTAAAGGAAAAGGGAGCCCCAATGCCAAATTGCCAATTGTCCTTGGGCGGACCATGGAGAGTGTAGACAGTCTATCATTATTTAACTATATAGATTGTTCTAAATAAGTTGTGAAGAATATGAAATGATTTCTAGACGACAGATTAATTGCTATTAGACAAACTATGTATGATTTCTGTGTTCTTTATCGTGCAGGAAATTATTTGATAGCATAATCATAAAGCCTAGTGCCTAATATACCATCTCACATTGAACACAAGACGGGAGTGATCTCAAGTTTGTAATAGATAATGGCGCTTTCTGAATCAGAAAGTGTTGGCTATGGCGGCATCAAAACAGGATCATCGGTACAAGCACCAAAATCACCTCACGAGGAATCAACACCACCAGATCAATCAATTTCTTCCCTGACGAAACAGAATTCCATTTTCTCGCTTACTCTCGACGAAATTCAACTTAAGAGTGGGAAGACTTTTGGGTCTATGAACATGGATGAATTCCTTGCCAACTTGTGGAATGTGGAGGAAAACCAAATTCCATCACAACTTAACCAAAATGAATTTATCAATCACAATGACATCGGAGGCCAACCAACTTTAGCACGACAAGGCTCTTTTTCCATCCCTACACCACTTTGCAAGAAAACAGTGGATGAGGTATGGATTGAGATACAGAAAGACCTACCGCAGCAGCGAAAAGCTAACAACTTTACCGATCACGAACCTCCTCAGCGGCAACAAACATTTGGAGAGATGACTTTGGAGGATTTTCTCATCAAAGCAGGAGTTGTTCAAGAACCGTCAGGATCTTCCCAACAAAAGAAGGTGACTCTTATCCAGACCAATAGCACAAGTTTGGATGCAAGCTATGGAATGGGGCAGCTGATAGGATCTTCTCAACAAAAGATGTTGACACCTATTCAAAATAGCCATGCAAGCTTGGATGCAAACTTCGGAATGGGACATGTGATGGGACTAGGATTCCCAGGTCAACAAATTGTAGCCAACAACTTGGCAGCAGCAGCAGCAGCAGCAGCAGCAGGCAATGGTTACGCAGCAGCATACCCGATTTTCACACAGACTAAAACTCTTATAGGGGAATCTTCTAATGGTGCTGAAAATGGGAATGGAACCAATAATATGTCAGAGCCTGCAGTGCTACAGTACAAGAAGAGGATCATAGATGGTCCACCGGAGGTGGTAGTGGAAAGGAGACAGCGCCGGATGATTAAGAATCGAGAATCTGCAGCAAGATCTCGAGCAAGGAAACAGGTTCATACTTATTTCACATAAAGCTATAAATTTTTTTTTTTTTTGGAGAAAGCTCCTGGCTAGCCATTCTTGTACTATTTTTGGTTGCTTATGAATGTGTTTGCCAAAGAACATCCAAAATGCAATGTGGAGATAAAATACCATTAACTGTCAAATTTTGGACTTTCATCTCGTCGGTCACATTATTGACTTTCTTCAATTGCAGGCGTATACAGTGGAGTTGGAATTAGAGTTGAATCAGCTCAAACAGGAGAATGCAAAGCTGAAGCTGCTTGTGGTAAACAAATGTTTTCTTTTGTAAAATTGAAATTAACTGAATTTTTATATAAAAATTTGGCCAGTAAATACCCTTTTTTCTCGATTTTAATTTTTGCAGGAGGAAAACGAGCAAAGACGAAAGCAAGAGGTAAATCTAACTATTATAAAGACCATTAAACATAGTCTAAATATGTAATATGTTCAGTTCTTGCTGCCCTGCATTTGGTATCCAAAACCTCAAAAAGATCCAAATGCTATGTTCCTTTTGATACTTCCATTAAGAGATATTGTGCTTCCATCATGAACACATTAACAGGTTTCGAAAAGAAAGCAATCAACGCCTGCAGAAAAGAAGGTTGATAAGATGAGGACATTAAGGAGGACAGTGAGCTTGGGCTGGTGAACTGGGAATAGAGATTCACAATGCTGAGCTTAATCAGCCAGTTTGGCTTATGCATGGCTAAATAAGAATATCTCCAAATCTACTACAATATTAGTCTTTTTTTTTTTTTTTCTTCACGGGAGTATGTGAATAAGGTTAAGAATGTGTAATAGAGTAACGGTCATGGGTATGTTAGTAGAGTGTTGAATTTTGGGTTTAAATTCTTACATCTCAAGTACAAAAAAAAAAAAAAAAGTGTAATAAATACTTAATTATGTTAAGCTTCTCCATGGATAAAAAGCACTTATCTAAATAGTGCTTTTATAGTACGTTTTCAAGGATAGAAAGCAAGTTTGGCAATAAAATCGGGTTTAATATTCCAACCCGTCAAATTTTATTTAAAAATAAAGTCGGTACCGAATTTTAGATAATTTTTTTTATTTTTTGTATATATATAAAATGTATTTTTTATTATTTATTTAATTTTATATTTATATATATTTATAAATACTATATTAATAAAATTATTATGTGATATTTTAATTTAATAAAAAATTGTATTTATATATAATTAAAATATAATTTTTATAAAAAATATTTTATTAAATTAAAATTATTAAATTAATTTCAAATCCGACGGATCGGGATTCTATGCAGAAGCTGTCTCGACGTGATTTGTTATTATCATGATCTGATTCATTGCCTGATAAAAAGTGATCATCACTGTGAAGTGTGAACAACCCCATTTCCTGTGGGACGCAGGTGGATTTAGAATAACTTTTGCCCTTTAACTTTCTTTTTCTTTGGATTTTTACCCAATGTTTTGTGCTTCTGGCTTTTGTGATTTTCTAAGACAAATTCTAAGAATTAAACTTAAAAATTTTAATTTTTTATACAAGAGATTTTAGTTCGAAATTTAATTTTTTATACAAGAGATTTTTGTCTAAAAATTAGAAAAAAATTACAAATGTTGTTGAGATTTAAATTCAAATAGAATATTTGATTACATGAATGAATTAATCTAATTTATAACAAACTTATAGTTAGACTCAACAAAAGGTGTCACCACTAATATTTTATTAAGATGTGATTGATCACCTAAATAAATTATTTTTTTAAAGAACTCCTAAACTTTACTAAAGGTACCTAAAAAATAAGTTTTGACTTTATGAATAGAACTAGATTCGAGAATTCATTTATATATAGAAAAGTTATAACACCCTTATAATGCTCATCCTAAGATGGTATCATTTAATTTTAAATTATCATAACAATTATTTTCATTCTAATAGTCTTTATTTTAATGTCCAAGTATTAGAAATGGCTTATAAAATTTCTCCATCAATTTGATAAAATTCTTAAAAATACTTTCTTACCTCAAAAGTATTCAAGAATCTTATTTATTTTTTTTAAATATTCCATCATCGAAAAAACTTAATTATTTATTTTTTTGTTAAATTTTTATTTTATTAAAAATATATCTAATTCTTATACCATTTGGACTAAATTTAAAAATACTTTTTCACTTAGAAATATTTTAGATAATAATTCATTTGCGATTACTAAGAATTTGATTTTCAAATTTTAATTTTTACTTTACAAGCTTCATTTCTAAATTCTTCATCATTTGAATCTATTTAGAAATACCTTTTACCTAGAAATCTCATAAAAGTTCAACTATTTGTAATTTTTCTTGAGATTTCAATGGATAATTGTCAAATATTTTCACATAAAATTTTAAGTTATATTTTTTAATTTTTAATTGAAAAAGAATATAATTACTTGTATTGAAATTTCATTTAAATTATTCCATCATCTGAGTTAAATTTAAAGAAATTCATTACTAAGAGACTTATTAAAAAATTTTCATTTAACATTTCTAAAAATCTCATCATTGGATAGTTTTTAATTCATTCCTAAAATTTATTAAATTTATTTAGATTTTTTTATTTTGAAAATAAATATTAATTATTCTTATTGAAATTTTATCTAAATTTTCCCTCAAATTTGGTTAAATTTAGAAAAAATTTCTCATTTAGAAATTTTTTAGAAATTAACCATTTGTAATTTTTAAAAATTTCATCATCGAATAATTATTATTTATTCTCAAAATTTTTATTTTTATTTTATATTTTTTAACGATTATTATTTTTTTAATTTTTCTTAAAATTTAATCATGCATATAACACTTTAAAAAAATCAATAAATAAACAAATAAAATCATAAATAAATAAAATATAAAAAAAATTGGCTTAGCTTAGTGGCTAGTAGGACTCAATTGTAAGAACAAACAAACAACTGAAGCGACTCGGTATCGACTCGAGATGATGGAGCAGGTGCAAATTTTACAAAAAATTTTTAAAAAGCAAAACACCGTTGTTTTAATTGACTATAAAAACCAAAGTTTAGTCTTTTTTCTTCAGACCTCACTTTTGCTCTCTCTTTCTCTTTTTTTTTTTTCTTTGTTTCTCTTTTTAGAAACATATGAACTCCGATTGAATCCTTATAAAAAAATTCATTAGTTGCCGATCGGAATCTAGGGACATTGCTAGAGTCTTGGTTTAGCTACCGGATTCTGGAATGTTTTGTCAAGTTCTAGGTAAGTAGCTGGATATTCACCCAAAATTTTGAACTTGATCGAAAAATTCAAAGAAAAATTCAAATTTTTCAAAAATTTTTCAAAAATTTACTTCATTTTGATTTATTTCAAGTTTTTGAACTAATAGATATCTTTTGACATTTACTAATTAAAGTTTTTAAAATTATTTAGCTTTTGTATAGAAGAGCTTATTTCTTAATTTAAAGTTGTTGAACCTTTATTTAGAAGAATTTTTTAAAAACTTTCGAAAGTTGCATATTTCTATTTAGAGAATTCTTTTAAAAAAATGGACTAATTTAGGTTCAAATGTGGTGGGTATCTATGTTTTTGCACAACTTCTATTTCATAAAAAATGTACAAAAATAAACAACTGTAGATATCTTGTTTTGTATTGTAATTTCTTCAAAATCGAAATGGGCCTTTAACTGTAAGTTGAGCTCGATTGTGAAACTTTAGGTCCAATAGAAAAAATTTTAATTTTTATTTGATTTAATTTGATTGTATTTTTTGTTGTATTTTATTTCATTCTTTTTTTTTTCAAAAAGTAAAATAAATAAATAAACAAAAAGGCCAAAAGTAAAAAAAAAGAGTTAGAATAAAAAAAAAGTCAAAAAAATGAAAAAGGAAAGTTTGAACAAAAACATGTGCAAATATTGGATTTGGGATTTGATGATTTTGAAACTTAATTACAAAATCAATTCATAACAAAATCAAATCAAATCACATTTAAATACAAATTCGATTGATTTTCTTTGAAATTAAACGGGATTGAATCCTTATAAAGAGGCAGAGACAAAAAATCAAAGGTGGGAATAAAAATAGAGACCAATTTCAGCTGCAAATTGGAGCCATGCAAAGTAGAGAAGCAAATATAAGAGAAATTCATTATCAATACAGAAAGAATTGGCAACAATGATCAGTATTTTAGAAGCAACAACAAGCAAAAAGGCAATCTAGGCAGAATAAAAAAATCCAAAATTTGAGCCAATTTCCAAAAATAGTAGTTTCAAACACACAGAGAATCCAAATAGAGCCAAAGAAGCATTCATCAAACACAATTCTAAAAACCAAACCTAACCACAAATGGAAACTTCACAAACCCAAAACCAAAAAATCAAGCCACCCAAAAATACAACTCAATTCACAATAAAAACTCAGCAGAAACAGAAAAGACCCATTTGAAAGGAAGAAAGCTATTAGTAGCGAACGATTGAGAGGCGATGGTGTTTGATAATGCATGGCACTGGTGGTGGTGGTTGGCCAAAGTTTGAAATTTTGTGAAGCTGTCTGAAGAAGCTTGAGGGAGAGAATAGAGGTCTTAACCAATGAAAAAGAAAAAAAGGGAATCGATAGAATCTTTTTAGAAATGGTTACTGGTGACAACAAAGAGGGATAGATGGTCAAACGGTGGCTAATGGCATCACACGGTAGTGGTAAGAACTAAAGGTAGCCAATTTCTGGATTTATTGGGTTTAACAAATGAAAGCTTTGAAGAAATTAAAGGAAAAAGAAATGGGTATAAGAAATTAGAGAGAGCTGAAAAAGGAAATGAGAAAACGTCAAATTTTTTAGCTTTTATGCTAATTGGAAATGCTACGTTTTTGGAGAAGAAATATTGGACTCGGATCCATGCCCTTCTGCCAGACTCGGTTCACAAGGTTTTGACTTTTTTTGTCTTTCTGTTTTCTTATATATTTTGTTTATTCATTTTTTTATCCTTAAATTAATGCTTGACTTTTTTTATGGAATTTTTTTATTTTAACATACTTATTATTATAATTGCATGATTATTAATACATTCATTGTGTGATTTATTAATATATTTTGCATAATTACATTATTAGTAATAAATTTGTTTGTGTGATTGCATGAGAATTTATACTAATTGCATGATATATTATATTATTGCATGATACTTATATTTATTGCATGATATATTATATTATTATTGCATGTTATTATTTGCATGATGATTTTTGTTTATTTTAATTTTTTTCTTTCAAATTTAAAAAGGAGTTTTCAAAAAAAAAAGTTTTTCAATCTTATTAAACTATTGGAGGATTTAAATTTGAATTAAATCTTGTCAAACTATTATAAGACCTAATGAATTTTTTAAAAAAATTCTACTAATAGATTGGAGGATAATTTTTGATGTAAAATCTTACCAACATATTGAAAGATATTTATGAAAATAAATTATTTTCACAACAAATAAATTTTCAATCTTATCAATAAATTAGAAGATAATTCTTGACAAAAAATCTTACCAACATATTAAAAGATATTTTTGAAAATAAATTATTTTCACAAATAAGAGTTTTTTTTTACAATAAAAAAATTAAATGAATCTGACAACAAAGCCTCTTCAGACTGGGATATTACTTTACATGAATATTTTTGAAGTAAAAAAATTATCTTAAATTGCTATCAAATTATTGGAGTAATTTTAAGATCAATTTTTAATAATTACATTATTTAGTAAATTATGAAATTGTTTTAAGGCTTGAATAACTTGAAATCAAACTAATACCATCATTTAAATGTGTGCTGTGAGATTGTTATATCATTTTATCATACATAACTGCACTCTTGAACTTAAAATCTAGTTTTGTAAATTAAAATATACTTTTTAAAAATACTTGAATCAAGTTTGGGACTCTTTTTTGAAATTGGATCGATTTAGTTAAGTAATCAATCACACATAAACAAAAAAAATAATGACAACTCCTAAAGTATATGATTAACGGTAAATCTATGGATCTATATATTACAACAAAAAAATATAAAATAAATGAATAAGACAAAGTACATTATATAAATGAATGATAAGGAGATGAGAGTGAAAAATAAAATAATAATATTATGTAATAAATAAATATTTTTAAAACTAATTAAAAATTTTAAAAACTATTAATGGATTATGATTAGCCTATTTCGACATGAAAAATAGTATTTTGTCTAACATGATACGAATCATGAAAGTTACAAACCATGTGCCTTATTAGACCATACTCTTAATTTTCATGATCATACCAACACAACATGTTAAAAATAGTGCTGAACTGATACAATTCATTAATATATAGATTAATATTTAAATAAATTATGTTGGTCTAACATGATTGATTTGATACTGTTAGATTTAATTTTAATTTTTATATTTAACAAAAATTGTGACCAAGAAAATAGGATGATCATTTAAGAATAATAAAATCATAATATTTATTTAAAATCGTATTTACAAAATGTTCAATCCAATTATTTTACATTAGAAATTCTTGAAAATAAACATTGGTTAAAATTAAAAACAACCTTTTAAAAAAAACCAGAGTGTTAAAGGGGAAAAACTAGTAAGGTGTCAATTGACAAGCGTAGAAAATTATAAAGGTTAAAGTGTAATTTACTCTAAATAACATTTGCCTGTATATGACGTCAACAAAAACAAAGTGACGACGTATTAACTTTACGCCTAAAAAATTTATTTTTTTGGCACAAAAAATATTTTTTATTTTTACATATACCCACCCATTTACTTTATAATCGCTCTCGCTTTCCTTTTCTTTTTTCTTCTCAAAAAATTGCTGATTTTGATCTGCGCTGACTTCGTTGAATCTCAGGTAATTGAATCCTTAAACTCTCTAATTTAATTTTCTTTTTCCTTAATATCACTTCAATTTCAACCTTTCTTTCTTCGATTTCTCTCTCTCATGTTAGGGTTTTCATTTATCTTCTTAGCTTTCAAATTTATAAAAAGTTTCTTTTCTTTTTATATTTTTAAATATTTCATTTCCCGCTTGAGAGGTAGAGAAAGCAAAGCAAGAGAAGTGTATGTGATTTTTTTTTTTGAATTTTGGTTCAGAGGTAATTTATTGAGCTTTCAGTTTTTTTTTTTTTTTTTTGTTTTCTTAGGATTATATAAATGTATTTCTTTTTCATGATTTTTTTTAAAAAAATTTTGCTGTCGTTTTTTTTTTTTTGTGGATTTAATTGAACTTAATTGGGAATTTTGATTTGTGACTTAAAATCAACAAAGTTTACAACTTTAGTCCTTGAAAAAGTAGAAAAAAAGAGTAGTTAAGGTTTAACATTATTTGAGAGAAATTTCAGGTTTTTGAATATGTTTTTATATGCGTAGTTAATTTCAGTTATGTGTTTTAAAGGGTAGTTGATACAATTTGCTAAGACTTTGTCTGATTGTTGCTTTTGCTTCTTTGAAAAGATGCTAAAAAGAAAAGGCAAATGGTAAAACCTAAAAGGCAAAATTACTATTGATTTAAGCATGAACAAAGGAGTAAAATGCAACACTATATTTAACATAATTTCTGTATAAAATTAATCTTTAATTGTTCTCCAAAAAAGTTGTACTTTTAATTTTTAATCTTTCTAATTCTAAAGTAAGGACTGAATAGTATGTAAGGGGATAAGTTATAAATGCAAGAGAAATGAGTTACTTAACTTTTGTGGATAATGTTACTGGTTTCATGTGGCAGATTTGGCAGTTCTAAGTCAGGATATTGATAGAGAGAAAAAGATGTTAAGTTCTGGGAATAATTTAAGTCGAGGGAATTTAGGATTGTCGTCTGATATGCCACCATTGCCTCAGTGTTTGCCTTTGGAGCCACTTACATTAGGCAATCAGAAATATACACGGTCTGGAGAATTAAGCCGAGTTCTGGGTGTTCCTCTGCGAAGCAGTACATCGGAGGATCATTCTTTTGGAGTTTCACACCCTAAACCTTCCCCTCCAGTGGCAACAGAGGAGCTCAAGAACTTTAAGGAAAGTGTTCAAGATGCCTCCAGAAAGGCCAGGTATGATCTTTCTTCATTATTGCAACCATCAAATACTTTTATATTTTGGAATGCTTTATATTTTATGGAACATGGTATCCTTTACGAGTTAGTGTAGTGACTTTTCTTTGAGATTGTGGTGACAAGGGTACCTTTGAAGTTAATCTGGTGATGGTAGGTAGTGTTATACTGGACACAGAATGGGCAAGTAACAGTCACATGGTACACGATTAGTTACAATGCATGCAATGCTCATGTATGGTGGCACGCATGCAATATTTTATCTGTGCATGCAATGTAGACATCCTGTCCTCACACATCCTTTGCACTTGATTATGTAACTGATTGTCTTAGATAGAGAGTATAAAGCTGTCCTGCAATTCAAGTGATTCTTCTCAAAGCTTTCTTACTGCGCATGGACAACGTGCATATTTTATCTTGGTTATGATGCCTGTTACTCTTTAAGTAGTGTGGACAGTTTTTAGTTATTGAATTTATGTTGTCTGTCTAACAGGGATAGAGTACAAAAGTTGCGAGAGTCAATTTCTAAATTGGAAAGGTATAGAAATGCTTTAAGCTCAAAGAAGCGACAACGAAGTGATATTTCGTGTGAGAGAACTAGTGGGGTAAATATGGCAAAGATGGGAAGCCAGATTCATAGAAACCCTCATGACATAATGACTCAAAGATTGGAGGATAGGCCAAAGGGTGTGGGGCTTAACAAGCGTGTTCGCACATCAGTTGCCGATTTACGGGTTTGTATTTTACTATTATTGCTGGAATATAACCTATGCTTCAACCTATTTAGTCTTGACCTGCATTATTGAAGATATTTTATGTGAAATTTGATGCGATTTCCAAAGAAAAGTCAGTTTATCTTTGCTCAGTGTTGAACACTGCTTTTTGTTGGCCTTCAGTCATTTTCTTTTGGTTGTAACCGTAATTGAATGTGCTGTTTTATGCTGCACAAAAAAAAAAAAGGAAGAAGAAGAAGACAAAATGGGCCAGAAACTAAAAACATAGTTTGACTGGACCCTTTTGCTCTTAATTTTTAGCTTATGCTTCATTAATTTTATTCCCTTTCCTTGTTTTCTCTTCCTTTCTTTTTTCATGATACCAGGCTGATAATAGGACTGCTGTGAATCTAAGGCAGCAGGGGATAATAGAAAAGGATGGTGATGTGCTTTCAGCTGTTAATGGTGGTTCTGCTCGAATTGAAGAAAAGATTCGTAGATTACCGGGTGAAGGATGGGAGACAAAGTTGAAAAGGAAACGGTCTGTTGCAGCTGTAGGAAATAGAGTTAATAGTGGTGATCGAGATATAAAACGACCTATGCAACCAAAGCTGAGTTCTGAGTCAAAGTTGCGATCATGTGATACACAGGGTTTCAGGTGATTGTCTATGATTGAACTTGCTTCCTAGTTGCTGATTTAAAAAAAAAAAAAAAAAGACAAAGGAATTCTATCTAGTATGGCCGGACAGTGGGTATCGTAGTATTCAACTTGAACTGTGTCAGAAAATGTTAGCTTAGACTTGGGCTAGATATCTTATATGAGCCTGTATGTATAGCTGAGGCTTGCCATGATAAACAAAAACTGCCTTTTGTGATTGTCTGTGGATGTACCTTCATTATTATTTATCAAACTGGCAGTGTTATGATTATAATAGAAGAAAGATTCTGTTTTACCATTTATTGCTGCTGATAGATATGATGGTTGCAGTGCTTATTCATAATGCATGGAACTATGCAAATTTTGTTCTTTGTATGGAAAAATTATGCAGGTTCTTTGATAAAATTGTTGCAGCATAATGGTCAATCGTGCAAATGTCCAGGCTTAAGAACTAGCATTATATTTTGGATTGACAGATCTGCATGCTTGCATTGTTATTTTGGATTTTCAATCATAATTAACTTGGTGTTTCTGTTTTACCTGCTTTTAATTCTAATACAAAATATGGATTATAACTGCTTGTTTGCTGTTATAACATTCTTGAATGCTTGATAAGATATTATTTTCTAATGAAAATGAAGGAAGATTTCTTCTACCTGTATCTTAAGGCATTCTGGAATTGATTATTGCTTCGAGTTTAGGTTTTTCTTTATAAGTTATGCTGATCCAGTCATTTTTCAAGCCTTGTTCTCAAACAAAGTTGTCTTACTCTTATATTATTTTGTCTTTTATCCGTACAGATCAAAATCTTCCCCAGGAGTTAGTGGAATTAACAGGTCAGATGCTTCTTTTGAAGCTGCTGGTTCTGATGCTGGTACGGTGCTTAGGAATGAATTGGAGAGTAACTCTATTCCACGGGATCGTACAGCTATGTTGGAGCAGAGGGTTGTAGTAAAAGCAAATAATAAGTACGTGCCTTCACGATTTTAGTTCTAGCAGCCTGTAGTGAAATTCTATGGGCAGGAGCCATACATAGTTAATGAACATCAAATTTTACTTTTAATTTCTGCCATGTGTGATATTCTTTTAATGGTTTCTTCTCCTTGATTATTGATTTTTTAATGGCTCTATTCATCAGGGCAACTCTCCAGGATGACAATCAAGCAAGTGGCCCAAGTACAATGCTAAAAGGAAAGGTTTCTAGGGCACCACGAACTGGTGCCATCATGGTGTTAGACTCATCTTCTAAAGTTCACCTCTCATCTGGAGCTTTGCAGGGTTGGGAACAGCCAAATCTAAATAAGATCCAAGCATTAGGTGTTGGGAGCAATCAAAAACGTTCGATGTCTACAGGTTCATCTTCACATGCTATGACCCAGTGGGGTGGTCAGAGACCGCATAAAAACTCACGTACAAGGAGAGCAACTTTAGTTTCCCCTGTTTCTAATGCTGAAGCTCTGATTTCAAACCAAGGCTTTGCAACACCTGATTCTGTTGCCAGGGCATCTATTGGAACTGGTGGATCACTGATTGGCAGCAGTGTAGATAATGCCACACCAAAAATTAAGAGGGAACCTGAGAATGTTTCTTCTCCATTTGGGTTATCTGAGAGTGAAGAATCGGGGGCTGAAGATAACAAATCAAAAGAGAAAGGAATTGATAGTGGTGAGGTTAATCTGCCTTCATCTCAAAAAGCTGGAGCTTTCTTATTGCCAACAAGGAAGAACAAAATGTCTGCTAATGAAATTGGAGATGGAGTCCAAAGACAAGGGAGGAGTGGAAGCACTGCACCACCCTCGACAAAACCAGCTGTTCATCCTATGAGGGAGAAGTTGGGAAATATTACAACAACCAAGCCAATTCTAAGTGCGAGATCTGCTTCTGATAAAAATAAAAGGTTCTTGAATATTTTTTTATTGGCTCTTGGTAATAGGTTGTTTTCTTTGTCTTGAGGAAATCTTATGAGTGAATCATATTTCTTTGGTTCAGTAAGACAGGTCGTCCACCTTCCAAAAAACTGAAAGATCGCAAGGCAACAATTCGTGTTGGATCAATACAAAATAATGTTTCTTCAGATTTCACAGGTATTTACTAAGCCCATGAGACTTTTGGCTTCCTATATGTCGAAATTAAAAGAGTATCAAGTCTATTGTGTCACTGTGATTGCTCTGTGAGATTTCTGACATTCTAATAATTTTGCATCTCTTTTACCAATCTTAAAGCTGTGCATCAATGATATGATTGTTATCCACATCTCTGTGACTAGACATTATCATTTCGACAAATTTTTTGCTCTTAGTGTTAGTTTAGCTTTCAGTAAGTTATATTTGTGTGCTTGTACTGATTTAATGTTTCTTTTACCGGAGAGTGTATTTTTTGTTGTTTACTTTTCAAATTTGGAATGAATTTTAGAGTCACATTTATCTGTGCGCATATGCCCTTACATTTTTTGTGAACTAACAAACTTGCTGAAATGTGGGTATGAAAGCAATGAAAGCTCCTGGTGTATATTATTAATGACAATGTGTTTGGGATGCCATGTTCAGGTGAATCGGATGATGATCATGATGAACTATTTACAGCTGCCACTTCTGCTGCTAATGCTAGTGGTATGTATCTCTTTCCAGTGATAGCCCCATCCCCACCCAAAAGAAAAAAAGAAAAAAGAAAGGAAACAAATATCTTTTGAGAATTGAGCTTTTATTGTGGTATATATTCTTATGTACTTGTTTTGACAGTTCATGCTTGTTCTGGTCCTTTTTGGAAGAAAATGGGATCAATTTTTAATTCTGTCAGTTCAGAGGATGCAACATACCTTAGGCAACAGGTACTATATGGCCACTAACAGATTATGATTCATTGACACTTTGGGGTTAGTTAATCACAGTTTCCTGATCTTTTATTTTGATGTTGAATCAGCTAAGTTTTTCAGAAGGGCTTGATGAGAGTTTGTCTCAAATGTTTGGAGAAGGATATAATGTTTTGGTAAACTCCATCATCTTTTGTATCTCTCTATAAAAACCAAATCCCTTTTTATCGGCTATAAACTGCGTAGTTCAAATATGTTAATCATAAGAGATCTAAGAACAGAAGAACGGGATAACTGCAAATTAATTCAATCTTTGTTGGCAAATATTGATATGAACGCCTTCCATTTCCACAGGGTGTTGTTTTGCAGAAAGATGAATCTAATTCTGTTGAAGAAATGGCCAAAATTAATGCACCAAGTGGAGGATTTGATATAAAAAAGTTTGACAAGGTTACTCCTTTATGCCAAAGAGTTCTTTCTGCTTTGATTGAAGAAGATGAAAGTGAAGAAATTTATCACCACATTGAGGCAAAGAATATGTCCCTTCACTATGCAAGTGATGATTCCCATTGTGGTTCATGCAATCAGATGGATGTTGAATCTAAAGATAGGGACAGGATGGAATCTGAAGTTGAGTCAAATGCAGATTTTCAGTGTCAGAAGAACTCTGTGTTAGACAGACACTCTTGTGATGCAAGTGTTGCATCTAACACATTTAGGAACTCCAGCATGTCCAATTCGTTACATAGTAGTGAACGGTGGTTGGGAGATGATGATTTCTTACATTCGGATATGGGGCCTGTGAGCGAAATATGTTCAACTGATCTGGGTCATCTCCAACCTAAGGAAATAAATGTTTCTGGCATTTCTTCTTTGGACTGCCAATATCAGTTTATGCCCATGGATGACAAACTTTTGCTGGAGTTACATAGTATTGGTCTTTATCCAGAGACTTTGGTAAGATTTCTTTCATGCTTTCTTTGTTTGATTAATTCTACATAACTTCCCATATGAGTTTCAGCCTTGGAGGGCAAATTGTATCTTTTCCTCATGTCCTTTTGAAGATTTTTTTATGTGATATTTTTTTACTTTCTGTCTATTTGAAGTCTAATGTTTTTGTGCTGCTATATTATATGATTAATTTTCCTTTTCAATTTTTTCCCTTGCTGTTTTGCAGCCTGATTTGGCAGAGGGAGAGGAAGCAATAAATCAAAACGTTGTTGAACTTAATGAGCATCTTTATCAACAGGTTGATGTTCAAAACTGTTCTCTGGTTTCAAAATATCTGCAATTTGGATTATTTAAGCATATTTTTTATTTTAGCCTTTTTGCTCTTTGCTTTCTTTAGTTTTCTCTCCCCAAAATCTATTTCCTTTTTTTTTCTAAAAAGAAATTTCATTTTTTGATATTAAATAACAAATTAAAGCTTTTTTAGTTGCATTCTGCTTTTAAATTGCATTTTTCCTCATATTTTAACACCTTGTTTTATTAACTTATAGATTCAGAAAAAGAAGAAAAAGTTGGGGAAGATTGATAAAGCCATTCAGAATGGGAGAGAAGAAGACAGAAGGTGGGTTAAACAGTTTGATCTTCTAGTGTTGTCAATAACCTTATGAGTGGTGCTTCAACTAGAATAATGTGGTTTAATTTGCAGGAACATCGAGCATGTTGCAATGGACCAATTAATACAGATGGCTTACAAAAGACGTTTGGTAATTCTCAGATTTATGGTGCAATTGTTGTTTCTAATTATTAACTTAGAGCAGTTGAGGCTTAATTCTTTGCCTTTTATTGTTCCATATAATTGAGGGAGTGCATTTAGATTTATGTAAGAATCGTCAGCATGTTGGTAACATTTAGTTTAATTTCTTTTGTATAAGTAGCAAGGAAACTAGTCCTTTATGGACAACATACAAGCTTTGTGCTTTTTGGCAAAAACTGTCAAACATCTACTTGACATTGCCATGTGTTTAGCTTGCTAATTTAGCCCTATATTGAAAATTCAGTAGTTTCTTAAGGGATTATGTATACCTTTTCTGTAATCACAATACATTTGAGTAATGTGAAGAGTTTTTATATTGACTACTATAATGCCAGCATTCTAAATATGAGACTGGATTGGCTTGAACCGGAGCCAGGGCCTATCTGGCTGGTTGACTCTTAATCCTGAGTGGGTTAAACAACAAAATTGGGACAAAGTGGATTACCCATTCTTTAGTTATTTCTTATAATATTCTTATTTCCTTTGAATGCAATTTTTTAAAATTTTAAATACTATGTAATTATAGTTATAACATTGAGCTGATGTTGGTAATTCAGCAGATCACACGAACTGGCAGCTAAAATAGTTGAGCTGATTAATCTTTGACCCACTCCCGCGGACTGTTTATGTTTTTTTATTTTACCACTATCTTCATGATGATGGAAATATTATGGCTTGGATAGAAAAGATTTGAGATGCATTCTTCAGTATGTTTGCAATTATGCATCTGCTCATTGGAAAATTGCATGGCATACAAGAACTTTTCCTTGGTATAGTCAAATGTATTATTAGTCTCATGTTGGCAATTTATTGGTGAATTTACTGAGGGAGTCCCTTTGACAGTTTCTTTATCGTTGATTTTGAAGGGGAGTGGTTATGACACCTCCTACTATGGTGTTGAATGGTTTATTATTATTTTTATCTGAAGTGATTTGGAGCAAGGTGTTTAGTTTAGTATAATTCATTGAGTTTCTACAAACAATTTATGCAGGCTTGTCGAGGGAATAATTCATCAAAAAGTGCAGTTCGTAAGGTTTCAAAACAAGTTGCTTTGGCTTTTGTCAAGCGAACTCTTGATAGATGTCGAAAATTTGAACAGACAGGCAGTAGTTGCTTTAGCGAACCTGCATTACATGATGTCATGTTTTCTGTACCTCCATGCAGCAATGAAGCAAAATCTGTTGATTGTATTGGCTCTGGAACTGCTAGTAATACTTGTAATGAAACATCCAACCATCAAGCAGAAGCCAGGGGCTCAGGTATATTCAATCTAAATTTCTACATTCTCTCCTTGTGATGGCATTTTGTCCCTATAATATACCATATGAGGTTATGTATTTTGGATTTTAGTTAGGCATTGAGAGCATTATTTTATAAGGGTAGGAAAATTTAGAAAGTACAATGATAAAAAAAAGTTTTATCATTTATTTATTTATTTAATTATTAACATGGAGAAGGCCCGAAGGGGGATCCGAATCCTGCTTTTTGGGCAGGGGCGGGCAGGGGGCACGTGCACTAGGCAAATGCTTGAGTGCATGTCTCATTTAATTGTTGTGAAGCTTATACATGTTCATTTCACTTCTGCCTCAGGTGCTGTTTCTAGTGCTTTTGAGAGGTATGATTCTTCAGACGCTTTTCCATCTGTTCACTCATCGGAGCATGCTGTTTCCAAGTATGGATCTATGTTGAACAAAGGGAGGAAGAGGGAAGTACTGATTGATGATGTTGTTGGTAGTGCCTCTTCTAGGGTAACATCAACTCTTGATGGCACTGTTGGAGGAGTAAGGGGAAAGAGAAGTGAAAGAGATAGGGAGCAAATCAGAGATAATTTAAGAAATACTAGTTCGGTATCTGGGGCTGGTCAGACATCATTGGAAAATTCCAAAGGTGAACAGAAAACGAAAGCAAAGCCCAAGCAAAAGAGTAATCATTTATCAACTTCAGGAAATGGATTCAATGGCAGGCTTACAGAGCCTCTGCTACCTTCTCGTGGATCTTATCATCCTACAGCTAATTCTGGCAAGGTGACTGAAAGAGAAGCGAGGTCAACATCTCCAAGTAACATGTGTAAGAATTCATCTAAAGATGAACCCATTGATTTCGCAAACTTGCAACTGAAAGAGTTAGACACAATGGAAGAACTGGGTGTTTCCAACGACATTGGCGGTCCCCAAGATCTGAGTTCCTGGCTAAACTTTGATGAAGATGTCCTGCAAGACCATGATTCAATAGGTTTAGAGATACCAATGGATGACCTCTCGGACTTGAAATTTGCATTTTGATTTCTTTCCCTTTTAAGTAGCTAGTTAGGTTACTATTACCAGCATATCTGATGCAATCTGATCAGGTAAGTGTAATTATGATTAATTTTTATGTATGTATATCATATGTATGTAATTGAAGAATTTTGTTTGTTTGATCCAATTAAATTTGCTTCTTGAAGTTGTTTCACTCATGGAAGTTGCTGGTCTTTAGGGTGATGATATGGCAAACACCTTGATTTTGATTCAGGATGCCAAAGAGGCTGCTAGGGCTTGCCCAGAATCATTATTTGTTAAAGCGATCCAATCTCTGATAACTGCTGCTTGTCAAAGGCAAAATTCAAGTCATGTATCCCTTTCCCTGAGTTCTTGTCTTGTATTCATGTATGATTTTCTACCGTTTTCAAATTTATGCTAGGGAAAAATTATTGGTTACAACATTTTTGTATTACTTGACATCAAGATAATTTATTAGTTGAATTGTAATTTTAATTTACGAATTAAATGTCTTATCAATGAATTGATAAGCCTTATTGTTAAATTTATTTAATGGACTTCTAGTTTTAATAATCAGTGTATAGTTTTTTTTTTTTTTTATAATTTTAAATATAAAAAATAATATATATTTGAGACAAAATTAAAATACAAGTAACATGGCTGTTGAATTAACTCAATTTGCTCCTTTAAAATGGGTTATGCCTCATAAAGCTGCTTGAATCATGTTTAATCCCAAATGTAATTCTAAGCAGGGGACTAATTTTTCATAATGAAAGTAGAAAGATCCAAAAATTTTTCTGAAATATTTAAATAGACATACAGAAGAGAAAGATTTTTGACATTGCTTTTGGGTTTTGACAGAGAAATTCCAGGCTAGAAGGTTTGCTGAACATCTGCTGTCAGGTTTGGTAGAAGCTCCCAACAATCAGTCCTGCAGGACAACTTATGGGAAAAACAATCTGGTAGAATTAATTCTACTGTATTAAACAAATACTCAAGATTTGGACTAACAAGATTCTTAATAACTAAACAGTTGACTTTATACTATTCTATTAACAAAATTTCTAAAAAACATTTGCAATAGCTTTAATGAAGGGATAAAATAGCCATGATCAGCTGAAAATTCTAGATTTGGTTTTCTTTTATTTCCTCTTGACATGTTTCTCTTTTAATGTAAAATCAGGTGAACTTCAGCAATCATTTTGGTCGATGACAAATAAGCTCTAATTAAAAATGGAATTATTTAACATAACTCTGTCCATGAATGATTCAAGCTCTTTTGAAAACAAATATTTGGTTTGAATGATAAAGAAAATGTACAAATTTGTTAAGGTGTGAAAAAATAAATTTTTTCATAAATTTATTAAACTTGACTTGCATAAACTTGTTTAAATTTATTCAAATAAAATGTATTAGACAATACTTAAAAATCAAATGAAAAAAATTATTTGTTAAGACAAATGTTGCTGTCAAGCAAAACTAGCTAAGGCCTATATTTTAGAGATATAAATCATTGAAACCTAATCTTAAAAGGACGTATGCATTAAAGTAAAAAGAAGAGATAAGGTCATCGCCTTATGCCCTTAATAAAAAATAATTTCAGTAGGACTAACAAAAAAAAAAAAAAACCTAGCTGATATGATAGGAAATTTGCCCACCCCTCAATACTTTATTTTAATCTTAATATTTATATTGGTGTAAAGTGAAAAACAGAATATAACTTATAAGTGCTTTTTTTTTTTTAAAAAAAAGGCATGCTAATAGGTTAATTTTTTTCCTCACGACCATTGAATTGATAAGTTATAAGTGCAAAGATTATTAACTTAGTTACTAGGTTTAAGAGAAAAAAAAAAAGCCCGTGGAGTCGCTGTGTTCTGCTTATCAACACTTAAAAATAGAAGTCCAAGATAACTTTTGATGAATTATTTATGAATATATTTAGTTTTTATTTATTTATTAAATTTAATAAATAATATTAAATAATATTTTTATATTTATTTGTTAAATGAATTAAATATAAATAAAAATTTATTTAGTTTGTTTATATTAGTGAACAAACTTATTTATTTATTATTTATTTGATGTTCAATAATACTAAAAAATTTACATTTTTATGTTTTACCTTAATTCTATTTTAAAATTCGGTTATATTCATTTGGGTTCGTTTACGTTCATTAAAAAATTTTTTTGTTTAAATTTATTGGTTATGATTTATTAATTATTTATAAATATGTTCATAAATATTTTTATAATATTTATGAACTAACTCGTTTAATTTAATTAAACTTAACATGAACATTATTTCATTTAAACAAACTAAATTCAAATGAATAATATAATTTTTTATTGTATATGAACAAAACCTAAATACTTTTAAAAATAAATAAATAAATAATAAATATACATGCATTCATTCATTTTTGGTTCAATTTATAGCTCTATAATTAAAAATGATCAAGTATTTTGTTATTTAGGCTTTCCTTTTTTGAAAAAAAAAAGATTATAGTTGAGTTACACAAGAAAAATATACTCTATTTCTCATAAATCTCTTATGAAGGTAGTACAAGAAGTAGTTATTTACTATAATTAACAATAAAATGATAGTATCCCATGAAATTAGTGCACTACAAGGGTTTAGGTTTTTAGTGACGTTTTTTTTTAACGTTTAGCGATGTTTATAAATGACACTAAAAGATTTGTGGTATTTGCAAAAAACGTCACTCAAAGTACCTGCTATACATGCATCATGGAAAATAACGATATTTTCAAAAAAATCTTAATATTAACAGCATTTATATCTGAAATGCTGTTATTTTAGTGACTTTTGTATATTTGAGACGCCGTTAAATTAGTGATGTTTTTATGATAAAAACGTTATTGCTTTGGTCGCATTTGTTATTGAAACGCCGTTATTTTGAAGGCATTTGTATATGAAAATGCCTCTATATTAACGGTGTTTGTATATTTGATATGTTATTAATTTAGTGACGTTTTTATGAAAAAAATATTGTTGCTTTGGTAGCGTTTGTATAAAAATGCTACTTAACTAGCAGCGTTTGTTGGTAAGAGCGTCATTACTTTTAGTGGTGTTTTATGATACAAACGTTACTAAATTATTCATTTAGAGACATTGTTGAATGCAAACGCTGCTATTATGTAAAAATATATATTTTTTATTTATGTTAATAAAATTTATTTCCATTAAAGAGCTTAAATTTAGAAATTGAAATTAATAGAAATTTAATTCACGTTTAAATATGCATATAATTAATACAAAGTTTAATAATTAATATAATAACATTCAAATATTTTTAATAAATTAACAAAATAAAAATTAAAATGTATGAAATTGATGACTACATATATTTTGTTGGTTGCCAATTGATGGAGAAAATTTTTCACCTTGGTCACTAGTGCGCTTAAAATCCTATTGAATAATACCATACAATTTTTAACACTTCATTGTAAGCTTTTTTTATATTTAAAAATTTAAATATTTACTAAATATAATACCTAAGTTGGTGGAGCACCAAGATCATTTCTTGAAAATTATTGTTGCATAAAATTCATAAGATGATCGAATCGATCATGCAACTGCTGAAGTTTTACACTCTCTTGCTTTATTATAGTACGTTCTTCTTTAATTTTGGCATGCTCATGTTTTTTTTTGCTTTCATTTATTGAAAAATGTTGTTGCATAGTTTGCAACTCCCCTCTCAATATTGAAATGTCTCGTGAAGACTAACTTGTTGAGAATGTAAATTGCTGAGAGCTATGTCCATAGTAGGTACATGGTGTTGGACCCAATCCAAGCTTTGGACTCGTTCGATGCCTTTCTTTTCTAGCAACTTTTATGAATATTTGATTTTTTATTTCTTGCATGTTGAGAGAACCATCAGATGCTACTTCAATCTCAACAACCATTTTTTTTTCGCTTTCTCTTGTGAATTTGTCATATACAAATATCAAGTTTAATAATCAATTGATAATATGTTAAAAAGAGTAAATATTTACTTTCTATTCAAATAGATGATACAAATTATCACAATTTTTTGTGTTTCAACATTCATGTAAATCTGTCTTTTTTTGTGTATGTTATACGACAAAGTTTCACACTTCCAATTATACCACCCATCTCATTCTCCTATATAAAAACATATGTTATTTGATAGGATATATATCAATTGTAACTTATTCATGCATATCAAGCCTGTCAATCAAGCATTAACATTTCGAATAATTTTAATCTCATGTATTTATATTTTGGCCCTGTAACAATACAATAGTTTTAAACATATGCAAACAATAAAAGCATTTTGGGTTTTCACACATATTGATCATGGAAACTAAATTCAATTATTTTCTCTCAGTTTAATATCAAGGATTGAAGCCATTCAATATGTTGAAAGCCATCTAAAAGTGAAAAACACATATTTTTGCCTTTTATATGTAAAAATAGTCCCAAATAGACATAAATAATAACTTTTTCTCTCATATCAACCGTAGAAACTGAGTTTAATCAATCAGACAAGTTTAATATCAAGTATTGAAGCTATCCAAACTGTTAAAATACAACAATAACAACAAATTTGTATTTTTACCTAAATATACATAAGCAATAACTTTTTCATACACATCTTCTGTGTCAACTAAGTTCAAATCTTTCGATAAGTTTAATATCATATATTGAAACTATCAAAACTATTAAAATAGAACAATAATTATTAATTTACATATTTACCTTTTAACGATAGAACAAGTTCATTCATTGAAATAAGTTTATTATCATAAACTTATTATTTTTTTTTGCTTTCTTGCAAAACTTTTTGATCTACTTGTGTGGCTATATTTCTGTTGCTTTTTGTTACCAATCCTAATATGTTCTCTTTCTTGTCATAAAAAATAATTGCGTATATGATAGAAATACAAATATTACCAACTTAAACCATATAACACTTTCATCATTTCATTTTACTATACAAAGCTATAAACTAGTACATTTTCTTTTCTTAAGAATCAAAATCTAACTAATTGTTCATATTGCTACCTAATCACATTATGGGGTAGATTTTTCATCGTCGCCTCTACAGTAGTATTTCGATCAAAATACTTATTCTTCAAACTATGCTTATAATATTTCCATTTCTTTCCCAATGACTTAAACACAAATGAAGTTGGTATTTCAAGTACAAATCTTGACTGTAATAATACAATAAGAAAAGTTTGAATAAGTAAACAAAATATAAAATAAATTTTTTTTTATCTAATTGATTATACTAATACCTCAATAAAGTTTAAAGCATCAGCCTTAATTTCTTCTAGAACTTTATGCCATGTTTCATAATGAATATG